TTACAGAGTCGAGGTTTGATCGCGACTCAGCAGGCAGTGAGGTTGAGGAAGAGGAGGTGGGGGAGGGCAGCCCTCAGTCCAACGCCATGACGGAAGGAGACTACGTTCCTGACTCACCTGCTTCTTCCCCTATTGAACTGAAACAGGAGCTTCCTAAATATCTTCCTGCCCTTCAGGTAGGGGATCACTTGAAGGATGCTTGGAAGTGTTCCCTGCAAATGGGTTTCATTAAAATGGGAAACGTGTTTGCAGTAGCATTTATGCGTGAGTTGATGGGCTGAATGTGTCTTGTTGACTCATTATTGCTCACACTTGTGTGTGAAATATGTACTTCTCTTGGTTAGTGGTAACTAAACCTGTGAAGTAGGTTTTTCTTAAGTCTTGTTAAACAAATGATTGCAGTGCTCCTGCAGATGTTGAGGAGTGAATGTTCTCACTCTGTTTTCTCAGGGGTGTCGCAGTGTGGAGGAGTTTCAGTGTTTGAACAGGATCGAAGAGGGAACATACGGCGTGGTGTACAGAGCAAAAGACAAAAAGACTGGTTCGTATTATCTGCATGGCATTAAATAAGTATTATGTCCTAAATGGCATCTAGAAACGTCTCGCTGAGGATCTGTGTTACTGTGACAGCTATTGTTGCTCATGGGGATTGGTTGAATTTTGGAAGCTGTGATTTGGAAAACTTACCTTATTTGCATGTTCTGGAAACAGCAGAATCAGCCCTCTGCAGTACTGCCCTAATTATTTTGCTGTGTGGAAGCAGTCATGTTCAGGTGGCGTGCATGCATGTGGCATCTGGTGTGTTGTGCACTTCTGCAGACTATTCTGTTGCTTTACAAATTCCAACAAACGTCTTAGTAACTTCACAGGAAATGCAGAAGGAGGTCTGGGGTAGAGTGAGAAGTACAGCTTGGGGTTCTCGTCACACAGGTTGCATTTTAAGCACAAAACTGATGTCTGTTCTGTATCAGCCTTCTGCCTTAACAAAGGGGAAAGCTGAAATAATTTTTCTTCTAGCCAGTTTCTGCTTTTGTCACGTGTATAGGTTCAGATCTGCAGTTGTATGCAATTTGTGGTTCTGCATCTCACATTAATGGACAAAATCTCTAAAATGCTTTGTTCCTTTTCAGGAATAATGTCTGCTTTTTAATAGGATATGGATTTTGACATAAGCGTTTTGCTCGCAGCTGTTTGAGTTCAGAATTAATTTCTGTATTGGTCATGACACTGTAGAACTGCTTAACTTGATTTCAGTTGCTGGTCCATTAGGCAATTATTTCTGGTTTGTGCTTTGCTGCAGCTAACGTCGGTTGGTTTGAAGTGTGTGCCACTAGGTGCCCCTCTAAGCACAGCCACTGGTGAGAGAATTCATAGAAGTAGTGTTTGTGTGCCATGAGGGCATGCAGCACTGCGTTGCTGTGGAAGAAATTTCATATACACAAGTGGATTCATATTTTTATCTGGTCTGTAATGATACGTGTCTTGTGGAAGTGACTGCATTTCCTAGAAGGAGTGCAGGAGCCAACACCGGGTTTCTCGTCCATGCTCAAGTGGAAGAAATACTTGGTTGGATGCTGTAGCAGAAATGGTGACAGTAATGCAGCTTTCCTGGTCCCTTGGAAAAAAATAATGTGAGGTACAATCTGTTCCTTTGTCTGGGACCTCAGTTTCCCCCCCGGTGTTGCCATCACTGGTGATATGTTACTGTCCAGCAGGCTGGTCGCTGCGACAGGGAGCGGAGGCACAGTAAATTAAATATCTGCAATTTTAAATAGAGGTGGCAGATGGTGAAGAGAGCCTGTGACAAGAACTGTGTTCCAGAGCAGACTTGGACAGTAACAGTGGTAATTCTCAGGTCCAGCTGACAAGCTGTGATGTTGGCAGTGGGGTTAAATTCTGGTTCTCTCTGTTTCTGTTTGTTTTAGAATTACGTGACCTTTTGATCTCCTCTGGGGTGGTTTTTCTGACATCACTCACTTACTGGATAACTGCCATCAGCTCCTTTTTCTCTTCTGCATCTTCCTTGAGGCCCGCCCTGAGGCTGACATGGCCATTACAGTAACATGCAGAAGCAGATGCATTGAAATAAGTGGCTTGGGTAACGCTTTGAGTAGCACTTGGGGTTTCAGTTGGGTCTTTAAGGAAAGGTGAACTGTGTGTGAGACATTTCCATCCCATCTCCCAGACTCCGGGGAGGAAATCAGTGTCAAATAAGCTTTATTTGTAGTGTCTTTCCAGGTGAGTTATGTTAGGATACACTAAAACCCCTGATGCAGTTTTTGAATTGTTACTGTGGGTTTTCTTATCTTTCCTTAAACTTGGCAATATTTTTTTGGTCTGCTTTGGTTTTCACTCTGTTAAGGCAGACTGATTCTGCTGATGTCTCAAGTAATGGTTTTCATTCAGATACATTAAAATAGTAGGAGTACACTGGGAGACCTCTTGGCATGTATTTTATTAGCTGTGTGATGGGCTAAAAATTCTCTTTTCCTTGCAGATGAAATCGTGGCTCTGAAGCGACTGAAGATGGAGAAGGAAAAGGAAGGCTTCCCCATTACTTCTCTCAGAGAAATAAATACTATTCTGAAAGCACAGCACCTAAATATCGTCACTGTCAGAGTAAGACCAGCAACCTTCCATTTCCAAAGATTTTTGTTCCTGAAATGTTGCCTCTTGGCTTTTAAAATGCCTTGTAAAAACATCAGCATTCCTAGCAGAGCTTGTTAGTATACCACCCATAAAATAAATAGGCGGTGTTTGTCTCTACTCTAAAAACTGGATGTTTTGCAAAAATAAGCTGTGTTTTGATGACTTGTTTTTGTGTTTTAGGAAATCGTTGTAGGTAGTAATATGGATAAAATCTATATTGTTATGAACTACGTAGAACATGATCTCAAGAGTCTGATGGAAACAATGAAGCAACCATTTCTACCAGGTACTGTTTGCCACAGTCTCCCCTGCTTGTCTGAAATGGAAAACTGACCTAGAAAGACCCCATTCCCTTTGGGCTGCACTGACATCAGTGGACTAGCTTGTATGATGACGTGCATTGCCTTGGAATGTCCTCTGAGTGTTCTTTGGAAGGGAGACTACTGCTTTCTCACTGTCCAATTTGATTCTACTGATAGAGGTTAAGAGAGGAAGGTCAGCTGGCAGTGCTGGTACGTACAGTGATGATAGGCTGATGAATCCAGCTGGCATGCTCAGGGTGACACTGAGGTTCAGATGTGAAATGGAGAGGGGAGTTTTCCCTGTGAACACTGCGTTTTATTTTTGGCCAGTTCCTATGTTGAGAAGCATTAATTTCTGAGCGTTATTTGGGTGCATTCCAGCTATCCAGATTCATTTTACTATGCTGGCAGCTCTTTGGATCTGTTTTTGTTCTGTGACACATTTTTACACTGTACTCTTTAGTGTTTTTTTCACTTGACATCTCATTCTTTCCCCCCCAATTCCGTCCTTGTTCTCTAATTAGAAATAACAACAGCTGAAGGCAGATTTCTTACTTTAAATGTATTTGGCTTTTTTTTTAATCACTTCAGGTGAAGTGAAAACCTTGATGATCCAGTTACTACGAGGAGTCAAGCATCTTCATGACAACTGGATTCTTCACCGGGACTTGAAAACTTCCAACCTGCTGCTCAGTCATTCAGGAATTTTGAAAGTAAGAACTATGTGACACACAGCACGCTTATGAGAAATTGAGTATTGCAGAGTTACACTGCATGACAGCGATGTTAAGAGCTGGGCAGAATGTTCTGCATTAATCTTGAAGTGTAGGAAGTGTAGTTCCTCAAACATACAGTCGTAAGACAGTGAACATTGTAATAGATGGAGACTGCCTTGCCACAGCTCTTGAGATTTATACTAGAATGTGACTAATAAGCATGGTATGTGAGTGCTGAATGCCTTATGGCACAATTGGAAGGCAGAACGGTGTTCTCTTCCTACTGATGCATGACAGTGCCATTAACCTTGTCTGTATCAACGTCCGTGTGGCTGTTTTGAATGCCAGAGGCCATGCAGTAGCCAGAATGGCCAGCATGTACTGGTGCTGTCCATAGGTATGCTCAGTGCTGATAACATTACTGATAGCTGATTTTCATCCAGGTTGGAGATTTTGGATTGGCCCGAGAATATGGATCTCCTCTGAAGCCTTACACACCAGTGGTGGTGACACTTTGGTACAGGGCTCCGGAGTTGTTGCTTGGAGCCAAGGTATGCCTCTCTGTATTCTTCTGGGAGCTAAAGGATTGACTTTTCAGACTAACTTCATCTTATAATTCATGAACAATTCATACAAGTGTGCTTGATTCTTTATGCTGATTTAGCAGTGGAAATTCTGAAACTTCAATTTTAGTTTTCCCAATAACAAATCTAAAAAGGTTTCGTCTTCCTCAGAGGATGGATGGGTGGGTCTAAAATTTCTGACAAAAAGAGCAGAACAGAGGACTGTGAACCTTCTGGCAATGTTCCCTTCTGGTTACCTGTTCTGTTACTGAAATCACTGGGGCTTTGGGTGCTCCATTGCCAAGAACCACACAAAAAAAACCCCAAAACATTGCACTATTGCTACAATACCTCATTAAATTATTTCACTGGCTTGATAAGGTATATTCTTTCTTTGCAGGAATATTCAACAGCAATAGACATGTGGTCAGTGGGGTGCATCTTTGGAGAACTCCTAACTCAGAAACCACTGTTTCCAGGGAAGTCGGAAATCGATCAGATTAACAAAGTTTTTAAGGTAACATTTATAAAACCTTTCCATTCTAACTGGCTGGTTTTAGAGGCAGTTAAATTAGAGCAGTAAGAAAATAGAAATGCTTGTTACTCTTTGATAGAGATTCAGCCTTAATAAAAGGCTCACTACTTTGATTTTCTGTTTTACATTATCAGTGATAGGCTAAAATAATGTTTTGTATGTCGTCTGTTTTCTCTGGACTTTTATCAATTCCTGTAGCTAAATAATGAATAAGCAGAAGGGCTGCACTCTAGAATGGGTTTATTAAGGAGACATTTTAATCTGTAGGATCTGGGTACTCCAAGTGAAAAAATCTGGCCTGGTTACAATGAGCTGCCAGCTGTAAAGAAGATGACGTTCACAGAATATCCCTACAACAATCTACGCAAGAGATTTGGAGCACTCCTCTCTGATCAGGGCTTTGATCTGATGAACAAGTAAGTGCCAGCTTCTGCAGTCCTTGGGAAATTGTGTTGTTTGTTACACTCGTTGTAAAACATGACAGATTTCTGAAGGTTTTATATCTTTTAGGCTAACGTTTATCTTCTTTCTGCACGGCCGTCTCTCTTATCTTCCCTCTAATTCATTGCCTGAATTCTTTTCAGCTTTTTGACGTACTACCCGGCCAGAAGAATTACTGCTGAGGATGGTTTGAAGCACGAGTATTTCCGTGAGACTCCCCTTCCTATTGACCCCTCCATGTTTCCTACATGGCCAGCCAAAAGTGAACAACAAAGGGTGAAACGTGGCACCAGCCCCCGCCCGCCTGAGGGAGGCCTTGGGTACAGTCAGTTGGTGAGCATCACTGACTTCCCCTGTCCTAAAACAAAGCCAAACCTGCTCCTTTTCCAGTGTTTGGAAAAGAATCTGTCACATACAAGGCTGGTGTTCTTTCATGTGTGGGAATTGGACTGCCAGTTTTGAAGAAAAAGCTGGCTGAAAAACAGCTGCTTAGAAGTAGGACGTGGTACAATCTCAAGTGCCTTAATTATTATCAGCTCTTTATTGACAGTTCCATGTCTCAGCATAGGTGAATTGACACTGCACAGCTATTGTGCCTGCTGCAGTACCAACAGAAAGAGCACGAATAACAGTCTGCACTGAACTCAGCTACAGTGCCACTAAATCAAGTATTTACTTACCATCTCCTACAGCTCCTTCAGGTTTTGTTTTGTTCTTTGTTTCTACTTTTTTAAAATTAGTTTTAGGCATGATTTCTGTGTTGCAGAGGTGAATGTGTGTGCACAGGCACTGACAGATGAACTGTGTATGTTTTCCACAGGGCGACGATGATCTGAAAGACACCGGTTTTCATCTGACCACCACGAATCAAGGAGCATCTGCTGCTGGGCCCGGATTCAGCCTCAAGTTTTAAACTCAGTGAGAAGAGGGGAGAAAAAGAGAACCGTTCACGTGAGTGGATTTCTGAGTGCCCCAGTTCTGTTCTTCACGTCAGGGAAACTAGATGGTTTTCACCGGGGTAAAGTCAGATGTCATCCCAGATTCAAAGACTTTTGCTGGGTGTGGAGTATAACTGCTGCATTCCATTAGAGGACTGGAATTAACAGGAAAAGCCAAGGATCGTTATAAAATTTGACAGAGGAAAACTTGAACTACAATCCTTGATCCCCTTTTTTTCTTTTCTTTTTTTTTTTTTTTTTTGGTTCTTGTTCTTTTCTCCTTGTAAATTTGTAGAATTAAAATGCATTTTTGATTGTTTAACAGCGTGAAGGATGTCATTTCCTCACATGCAGCAAACGTGGATGTTGGTGGCATTAAGTCTTCTAGAGTGGAAATGTGAGGATTTATTTTTTTTATTAATTTCTCTTTCCTCCCCCCATCTGTGCTGATGTTGTTGTAGTTACTGTCAGTCCAGCAAAAGAACTTTTCTTTTTATTTTAAGTAAGTTCTTTGTGTCTGAGTGTAGTTGCTTGGTCAAGAAATCACGATGTTTAAGTTGCTTCTCTCCTGTTGTGTACCTTGGAGAAAGCTAAGCTGGGTTGGGCTCAACACCCACTGACATTTTTGAGTGAACTACTGGGTTGATGTGTTGTATAAATGTATTTACAATGGCACTGGAGCAAAAAGTGTACTATATTGTTTTATAATTCAAAAAAAATTAATATTGAAGCTTTATTTTCTAGAGAACCTTCTTTTAAAAATGTCCTTTTTCCACAAAAATAACAACATTTCATGTTACTGGTTGTATATTGCCATATTCCAGTCTTTCCTCATAAGTGTCTTCTGAGTCTCTGATTTACAATGCTATCATCCTTTTCTGGGAACAGGAAGATTTGGAAAATACTGGGGTGTTCATGCAGTCAGAACTGGGCACCAGTCCCACCAACAGGCGTAGTGATGAGCATGCAGTGCATTGGAAGAGACTTGTGGTGGTGGTGCTGGTTTTGTTCTCATTGAGTGAAGGCCTTGGACCTGCTCTTGGGAGCTGCCAGAATTGTACATTTTCAAAGCTGGTTTTTTTGTGTGTGTGTTGATGAAGCACTGTTTTCTCATTAGGCCTGGTTGTGTTGCACTGATGGAGAAAGTTTTTCTGCTAGTTTAGTAACTGTAGTAATGCATGGTTTTAGCAAAGTTTGGGTAGGGGTGAAGAGCAGAAGCTTATTTATTTGTTCTGAAGGATGTGAGAAGTGAAAAGTGGACAAAAAAGCTGAAATACTAATGATAGATATTTACTGGAACGGGTGCATCATTGCCCATTGGAAAGCATTTGTTCCAACCTGGGCTAACAAATCTGGACCTCTGAATCTAATAGGAGTTATTTGCTTTTAATCAAACAAGTTATGCAAAGACAAGTAAAGTGAAAACATTTCCAGGACTGTTTCACCAGGAACAGAGCTATGGAACTCAATTACTTTGAAATTGTGTCATCTTAAATAACTGATTTCAACCAGGGAAAATCTGCAAAGATTCATCTTTCAAAAAAACATGGAGGTTCCAGTGCATAAGTGTGTGGTAATCACAGCCTTGTTGTAGGTTAGGGATTTATTTTGTTGTTGTCTTACTGCAATTTTTATTTTTATAAAATGAAAGTGTATGCCAAGAGAAAGTGAGTTTTGTTGCTTACCTTGAGGGTATCACCATATCTGCCAGGTGCTTTCCATACTAATTCCCAGCAAATGCAAGCTGTCATGCCGTGGTCCTGGGCAGGAGATGGAGAGAGGTGTTTTTTTGGTTGGCTTCTTCACAGAAATTCCTCCTTTTTTTTTTTCCTGAGTTCCTTGAAGATGTTGTTGGCTTGAAATTGCAGCCAGAACAGATGTGCACAGCAGTGCTGGGCCATGCCATCTGTGTCACGGAACACTGGGTGCAGTGCAGGGCTGTCTCATGGCCTGCTGTCTTAAACTGCAACTTTTTTCCTTGGTTTCTTTTTCCACTGGCCTTGAGGTCAGCTCAGTTTTGGAAGGTGACTGCTTATAGGACATTCGTGGGGCAAAGCAGGTCCTTGGCTGCAACTCCAGCAAGGACAGTGCCTGCCAGAAGCACAGGGCAGGTGGAGGTAAACGGGATTGGGAGAAACAGCACAAAAGTCAGTTATCATAAATGGTATGTGTACCAAACTGTTAAGTTGTGAAATGAAGAACTTTGGATCTGCCCTAGGATTAAGCATCCTTGCAGTTGAAGTGCTGACATCCCCTTGTGAGAGCTGTTGAAGGCTGTGCTGATCAGCTCATTGTTGTTGTTTCGTTTCTCCAAATCCAAAAGACAGAGCTGTTTTAAGATGCTTGGATCCACGTGGTGTTGCACTGCTCTGTTAAATGGAGATGTGCTAAGTTCATGCTAGATATCTGCCAGTAAAATTACTGTTATTGCAATTGTACCAAACTGTTCTTATTAGTTTCTTACTTTTCCCTTGTGCTTTTGCTGTCCTGGTACAGAGCTCTTCCTAGAATGCTGACCTATTCTGCAATACATGAGATGCTTAAGGTAGGAAGAAACGTGTTTGAAGAGTTTAAGACAGCAACTAAAAATGGACGAACCTAAGCAGAGAATGATGTAGGCTGCCTTAATACTGGATAAGGATCTTTCAGGTACCCATTAAATACAATGACTGTCAGGGTTTGTAACTGCACATCTCAATTCCCAACTGATAGATGTTTGAGTGCACTGGGCTTCGCCCAGGAAGCAAATGCTGCTTTTGTTCTGGATGTGGCGCATCCACCTCACTGTTAATGACTGGGTGTGATGATGGAAATGATCTTACCTCTGTTGAAGGGGTCAAGAAGCTTATTGATCAGACACCAAAAGGATGAGTTATGAGGAGCTGCAGATGGAAGTAGATGGTATGCTGGGCTAAGATTACACAGACAATAAATACACACCACAGGAGAGTAGTTGGGGGGTGGAAGGGAGATATTCTGTGCATAGCTGAACTGAGTATGTCCAAGTGTGAAATGGAGTAATTTGGGTTTGTTGTGACCCTCTATTTTCCTTCTGCCCACTAGAAGAAAAAGTAATTCTTTTTTTAACGTTCTTATAGACCTACATGTCGTGATATAAAAAAGATAAAAAACCACTTACAGCGCATTTACTGGTCATTCTCTTTCCACAATACCTCTGATTCCATTGCAACATAGCTGAGCCATCAGTCTGTTCATCCATGTGTTTGCTGAAGGGTTATGTCTCGTTTTTCAGCAGTCCACTGATCCAGGTTAACTGCAAAATCTTACACTGGATTTTTTTAAAATTTCTTTTTTAATTCTCTGTACAACACATGCTTGATGAATTCTTTACCTTTAAAACTAATTTGGAAGAGTTGTTTTATCCAGTAACAAAGTCCCAGAGTCTCTCTTGCTCGAGGTATTGAAGCAGCTGATTTAGGAGTTCATTTGCACTACTGGCGTTTAAATACAAAATGCTTAAGCCAGATTGTGAATTTGAAATAGAGAAGTTCTCATGCCAGAGCCCTTGTTAATGTCTCAGTCTGATCCTCCAGGAATAAGTGGTCAAGATTCTTTCTTTTTTCTTTACTATACAAGTGTAAGTTCCTTCATTAATTGCATTTGCAATGATGCTCATGTGATCCTCATTTAAGGATAAGTAACCTGGATATGAGTATTCCAGAAGCTCCTTATCTTTATACCAGCTGTCGTAAGAAAAATAATAGAAATTAAACTATAAAATATTCAGTACATGCAGCATGTGCATTGTCCTTCTCTTTGCTGTTAAGCTGTGCTTGAGGCAGGCACTGCAGCACGGACGGACTTGCAGAGTAAGATTTAACCTCACTGTCATTGATTTCACCTGGATGGTGGCAGTAATAACATGGTGTACTACCCTGAATCTTACTGAAAACAAGTAAGAATTTGGTTCCTGAGTCTAAACTAACCCCTGGACTTGGACATATTTCTCTCAAGTTTAGATGCATCTAGAAGTAACGTGCTCATAACTTTATCCATTCAATTCATAGTTAATTCTTAGTAAAGACAGTAGTTTTTTTGCAGAATACAGCCCAGGGACTGTGACAGAGGTAAGAATTATCCTTATGCTATATATGTGTATTGGATTTTATCTTTCTTCTGCTGAGCTTACATCTGATAGATGTGCTTCTGAAATAAATGCTTCACAGTGTTATAAACAGTATTTGCACATTCCCTTCCCACAGTTAGTCTGCCACCCCTCCTTCTACTCGAGTGCCAAATCAAAGACAGCCACATGTTCCAAAAGCTGAACTGCACTCTCATGTACTTTGTTTTGCCATACTTCCTTATTCTTTCTCCTTTGGGGTATTTATGCTGCAGAGTATTCTAAAAGACTGGAATAAATGACAGAGCACTTACTAAACTTTGCCTTTTTTATGGATGATCTTCTGTCCACAGCGGAAGGTGACATTCCTGCCTTCAGAAACAGTCTTGGTTTTTGTCCTTGGAGGTGGCAGAGTGGGAGGAACTGTTGGAAATGGGAATTCTGTCCACCCGAAAAAGAAAGTGCAATAGTTAACATATCTCATTATCAAGCTTGAGTCAGCCCAAAACACTCCCACAGAATTATGTTATGATCTAAGTGATCTTAAGGTTATTTGTTAAAAAATGACTCTCATTGAACAGCTCTGGGATGCACATTTAACACTGTTCTATTTGCATATGAACACACTTCATGTGCATGGAGGAACAGTTAGTTCAGTTTATGAACATTCTCCTCCAAACTTCTGTAAAAATACCTCTGTTCTGGAGAGGGAAGTACTGGTTACATGGTGCATCAGGACAGCAGGCATTTATCTGAGGCTTAATTCCACAGCTGCAGTAATCTGAGGTGATAATGCATCAGTCCCTTACCTGAATTCATAAAACTGAGGCTAGGTGAGGTGTTTAACATGCTGTATCCCTCCTTTTCTTGGAGCAGCTCGAGTCCAGCTGTGCCTGAGATTTCATTTGGCTAGTTCTTGTCCCATCACTGCATCAGCTACTGTACTGCCAGGCCTTTGATTTGGCTGAGATGTACAGGAGGATATCTGTGCTACACTTCTCCTTAGAACTGGGTGCAGCCAGTCACTTGCAGCCTCTGGCCTCTAGTGTAGAGTTAAGATCCTGCCTATCCCTGCAGCAAAGGCTGCTTAGCTTTACCTCCTCCCTCCTGCAAGACCCACCACCATCCCAGAAGAAAAGTTGGGTACCGTAGCAGAAGTCACAGGTGAACGGACAGTGCTTTTTCATCAGCTTCTCACGTTTCTCACAGAAACCTTTTCGGGCCCACAGGGGGCACATAAACAGTCTGTCCTTGCATCCTGAAACAGAAGGAGACAATCCTCTGAGAAACAAACTGATATTTCACCCAGTTCAGATTGTTCAACATAAATGGTAGTGCAGAGACGAGAAGGAACCTAGGACTGGAAGTATAATAGGATGCCATTACTAGAAGAACAGGGAGCTACATACTGTGCTACTTCCATGCAGGAGCACCTTTATATCCTGCATAGAAAGGAATAAGATTCCTCCTGAGTGCGGCTCACGGGCATCAAGCTCTCATCTCAGCAAATGCTGAGTACCTAACAAAGACCTCCATGGGATTTGACTGGCACTTCAGGCAAATGTTTCTTAGCAAGAGGAGCCCAGAGCACAGCCCTCATTTCCTTACCGTAAAGTCTGTGAATTCCCCAGACTTCATCTTGAGAGATGGTCTTTTTCCCAGTCAAAGTAGCATTGATGTGCATGAGAGCATTTGGGTTTTGGGAGTGCATGAGTCCTAAGGCATGCCCTATTTCATGAGCTGCTACGTGCACCAGATCTGTAAGCCAAACACCTGGAAGAAAAATGGAAAAAAGCTAACTGCAGTGAAGTACATTTGCTAATCCCAGTGTAAAGCCAGAAGAATTTTTGCACTTGGAAGGTGTGGTCTTATCAAAGGTTTCCAGTTTTAACTTCCATGTAGCTATTTGGGTGTAAACGGTCAAGAAATTATTTATCCGTGCTTCTAATTCCAAACAGCAGCTCTTGCCAGACTCAGAAGACTGCTCCAAAAGACCAGTGATTGAAATATGGAGCAATATGCCCGCTCTGGGCAGCCTGCTGCTGCTTTGTTCCCACAGCCCTGAGCTGGGACTGGAAACGACAGGGAGTGAGATTGCTAGCTAGAATGCTCCAGTCTGAAAAAGCCTCTGATTGACTTTTGCTTACAGGATTGAACTGACGTTTGTCAGCAGCGTCCTGAAGCCTGCTTCCAGCAGAGCTGGGTTTTAACTGAAGGATGACTCACAAGAGGAGCTGTTACTGACACCTACCCTGATATCTTGCACAACTATAGGCCATAGGAATACTGTGCAATTCCTGTGTTAAATCCAACTGCGTATGGGAAGAAAGCATCTGAAGGGGGTGGCTTGCATACGTGTTAATTTATCAGTACATTAAATAGGAATCCTTGGTGGATTTTTTTTGGCTCTTGCAGCCTCCTGCTGAACCTCACTGACGTGACTTGGAAGAACAGTACTTTCGTTCTACTTCGTTTCCAAATTTCTTTAAGCCAATAGCTGAGCTAGTTCAGCTTTGGGAAGAGAAGCAGTCATTATTAACAAGCATTAATAGTCAGCCTCACACTTGCCTGCCTTTTGAAGGCAGAAGTGCTGTTGCTGCTTTACAAAGGTGGCTGAACTGAATGCAAATCAACTGCATAACTATCTCCATGTAAATGAATGGAGTTACGCTGCCATGAAGAAAGAATCTGTGGTAGAACTGGTGCGTGGGACTAAGATGTAAATGCTGCTGGCGTTGTTACTGTTCCCTCTGAGACATGTCTTACCTTTCTTCCAGCTGAACCGAGTATTTCCTAATATCCAGTACTCATGGTCATCAAAGTGGATTTCCCCATTGGGTGGGAAGAAGGCATGGGCAAGTTCCCCTGTTGTTCCATCAAAGCAGTGGTGAATGAGAGACTCCAGACAGTCTGTGTGATTGATGGAGTAGAAGCCTGCAAAAAGAGAAGCAGATTTAGTCTATCTAGCAGGACAGACATCTGTAAACTTGTGGTTTACTAACACATCTCTTGCTGTATCCCAAATGTTTTCCAAGTTACACACACAACAGGAAAAATCAGTGCAAAGCAATTGTATGGAACAAGGGTTGTGATGCAAACTGGAGCCAACTCTGCAAAGACCTCAGATTTGGAGCTGTCTTCAATGCACACAAACTGATCTACTTTGCAGAAAGGAACACTGAGCACTTCTTGCAACATCACAAGGAAACTTTGGGGTGTTTTTGGAGTGCAGTTGGGCCCTGAGATGATAACCTCAGAGCATAATCATCGGACAGTGAGATGATAACCCCAGAATGCAATCACTCAATTTTAAACACAAATAAACGGAGAGCAACAGAATTGCAGCTGCTTGCTGTCCTTCTGCTAGCATCACAACAGCTTCACACTGCAGCCACTGGAATGGGGCCACCTGGAGCTCACAAGTGGCCGCAGGACAGGCCCCTGACGGCACATCATGTGCTTGAAAGTAGCAGACTGAAGAGCAAATTGCGAAACAATGGAAAGTCTGCTCGTTATTTCAATATTGTGGCCATCTGCACAAGAAATAATTATTGCACACAGGCCATAAATCCCAGGAAGAATTTACATCTGGGTTTGAGACTGAGCAGATAAGACCTCAGCACTAACGTATTTCGAGGCTTGAGAAAGTCAGGAGGTAACTACTGTACAGTCATGGGGGAGGGCAAAAGGAAGAGGAGGAGAAAAGACAGTACTTGAGCCACCCAGCAGAAGGGAGCCAGCTAGCACACACAGCAGTCCTGCAGTGCAGCAGGCCATGCAGCCTCACCTATTTTCAGATCACTGGGTACGTGGCGTGGCACTTCTCTGAAGCTGAATGGTGAAACTTCACTCCACATTCGGAACGCAGCTGCCAGTCCCCTGCGTGTGTCCCTGGCATTTATGAGGTTTCTTGGGAAGGACAGGATTCTGTAATAACACAGAATAACATCAGGGAAATGCTGTCCCTGCCCCAACATCATTTGATGCTCTCTAGGCTTTATTAGACTATCACCTGCTGTAAAATGGTTTTAGGAGCTATCCAGTCACTGACAAAAGGATTGGCAATATCATGATTGATACCCATGCCCTCAACAAAACAAAAAAAAGTCAATGCAAGTCCATACTTGTAGGTCAGGTTGAAGTGGTCCCATTTCAAGTGTCCAGGTGTGATCGTGTATCGCTTTCTCCGTGCTGGAGGCCGAGGTGGAAAGGCTGGGCTGTGCAAAGCAGAGGCACTCACTTCACGGAGGCCAGGTGATGTGGTATCTTCCTTAAAAGAAAAAGAAGAGGTTGAAAAAGGTGGGGGAGACTGCAGGACTGAAGAATGTAGCAGTCAAACCAACTGATACGGGGCATTTGGGGGCAGGGGAGCACAACCAGGACTCCCTCAGAGATGTCCAGGACCGAAGACTTTACAAAGCATGCCTGCTCTGAGCGTGCTGAACAAAATCAAGACGGAGCAAAAGCAGGGCAGTACTGTGAGCAGCTCCTGGGGCATTGCTGAGTGCTGGATCAGAGATCAGCCTGTGGGTTCCCTGGAGCTGTTGCATAACTCCAGCATGGGGCACTGCTGCCACTCTTCTCCTCCTGGAGCGCAGCGCAGGCAGAGCAGAAATGAGACCTCGGCAGCTTCTGGCCACAGCGAGAGCTGCAGCTCTTCCTGAAAAGCTCTCATTTCCTTTTCACTTTGCTATTGCTCTCCAGCTTAACCACAGAAGAAATGAAATACTGAATCAATGCGTCAAACAGGCAACTCTTTGTGCTGAGAGCACTTTATGGAGCTGGACTGTGAATCTGAAATGCCTTCAAAGTAAACTGGAGCTCTGGAAACCCTGGAGTGTGTTTAAAGCCATCACATTTGGTGACACGCCTGACTCAAACTATACCAGTCTGTTAGTCCTGAGTAGCAGAGGTAAAAGAATGGGACCCAATAAGGTCCTCTGGAAGTTTACCTATTCTGCTTCCCCCTTTCAGCAATAAAACACTGACCATCTCTGGCTCATCTTTGCTCCAGAGGCACCGTGGCAAGCACGAAGCAGGATGTACAGTGGCAGTGTTACAAAAGCAACACCAGTCTGAGTTAGTTCAGCCTCACAGCATATTCTACAGAAGGCAAGTTGTCTTCATTTCACAGATGGAACAGCTGAAGCTTTGAGAGGCAAAATAGCATCCCAGCAAACCAATGGCAAGGAGAAGAAGCAACAGCTGCCAGATGCTGCTCAAAGTGCTCCATGACTGCAGTCCTGACTGGTAGAGGGCTGAGGGACTGCATCCCAACAGGAGACTCCAACAGGAAACCAGTCTCCTCTGCTCACGTCTGAGCTGTACAGTTGCAACAGCACCGACACACAGGCAGATACAGTCAGCAACCCTCTTCTGAACTACTCACCATGTGCAGTCAGGCTTCCATTAATTTACTTCATTGACTGTAATAAATGTAATTCTCTCTCTCTCTCTGATGCAGTTCCCCTCCAAAACTAAACAGAAATGTAACTTTGTGACTTAGCACCAACTTACAGAGCCCTGAATATGTGATACAAGCGAGGGATGCTGCTTGCCAGGATCACCGTAAACACAAACAGCAAGAAGGGGTGAAAGCATTTAAAAGAATATTTTTTCTTTTTATAAAATTGAAAGCTAAAATGAAGATAAAGTGAAAATTAAGATCAGCTTCCGAGCATCCCAGTTCCACCTGAATTCCAGTCTGTCCCAGTATATCTTAACGAAAGCCACAGCCATCTAACAGTTTCTGTAAGTCCAGCATTAACTCCCAGTTTAGATCTTACACCACAAGCCCAGCCTATGGAGTTCCTAGGAATCTCAGCTGCCTCAGAAAGCAGAATCTATGCATGCCACATCACAGCAAGCTGGGAAAGCAGAGGTACTCAGGATAGCTGTGGCTCTGATCTCTGCAAGCTGTGTGCACATCCAATTTTACTTAGATGAATCAGTACCCCTTAGGATCCCTTGCAAAAATGGACTCAAACATACACAAACATATCTGGTTGCCTTGACAGTTACTTACATATTGATTAGATTGCTTCCTGAATTTACCACTCTTGTAAAAAGAACACATGCACACACATTTGATATCCCCACTCCCCTCCCAAGCTGTCCTGAGAATCAGATCCTTTCCCTACCTGACTTTCCTGAACTGCTGCTCCAGCTGGATCTCCTGCAATAGCCAGCAAAGCCACCACGGGGAATATGCATAGGAATCCCACAACGGTTCTATAGCCATTGCTCTTTTTATTGTCCTCTGAGAGAAAGCTCTTCTTTCTGTCAGCAGCAAGTTGTTCTATTTGATCCATGTTGTTCTTTAACACTTTCTAATGAAGGAGATGAGACAGATACTCAGACATTCCCTTCGCAGAATGCATTGGTAATCCTTTTGCTCACAGATGCATCTGGAGCATTTCTGAGGAGTCCTGCAATCACTGCCAAAGCTGTGCAGAATCACTGGTTTCAAAAAGCTCTCTCTCAAAAAAAACCCCCCCCCCCGGGGGGGGGGAAGAAAAAAAGAAAGCAGACTTTACATTAAGCTCCTTTCCAATGTGCCAAAGATTCTCTCGGCCTCTGCCAAACCGTATCAGATTACTGCAGCTGAAAGTTGGGCTGGCAGAGGAAAAGCAGCAAAGTGAAACAAGCTGGGATGGCCATGAACTCTCCTCTTTAACTGACTGTATAATCAACAGAGGACAAATCTGCAGTTGTCAGCTTTATGTAATGAAAAAATTGGGGGAGGGGGACAGAGAAAGGAATCCAGAAGCCAGCATCACGCCCGTGGAATGCCTGATCAGGGATGCTTCGTGGTAGAGGAGCTGTCATTTGTCAGAGGCTGTCCTCAGCAGCAGAATGAAAAATGAGATGTTGTGCAAGAGCTTTCTGCAGTCAGGAAATTTTGGTCAGGGAGTTTACAAACTCAGATAAAAGCAGCCATCAACTCCCCCATCCATGGAACTTGGCAGTTGACTCCTGCAAATTCCTTATGTACCTGGGAGCTACCTAACGAGGGGTTATGATGCTGAGACAGACACATGCTTCAGAATCACGCTGATCTGGGGGACCCCAGCTACAGCACCCCAGACAGACCCTTGCAGAAGCACGCAGTGAGTGCCTCTGCCTTCCATAAGGTTAGCAAGAGTCAGTGCTGATTGAAAGTGATCTCACCTTATGTTCTGTTCCATATGCCCTCTCCTCTCACCAGTGTCCAAGCATTTTGCCTCACATCTGCCTTGAAGTGGGGGCAGATTATTATGCTGCTATTATTATATACTGCTATCATCTGCATCTTATGGGTTAAGACCATAGCACAGTGTAGGAAAGATGACTTCCCTGAGTTCAAGCACTGAATCTTGCAGAGCTGGAATGTGAAGCCAGGTCTCTCAAGCACCCAGTCAGTGCCTTACTGCTTCTGAACACGACTGGCACACCTGGGGATTAAAACCCAGACTGAGAACTCACACAACCAAGTACCCTGAGGGACCGAAGAATTTCCTTTATCTCACTGTAAGGGAAGCAGAATTTTTTGAAGGCAGATGCCTCAGTTCGGATCTCCCCCAGAAGTTAGGAGCTAGAACTGGAATAGATGTGCATTCTTGAGTCCCGTTTCTGAAGCCTCTTTCAGATGCTCCCCAGGAGCCACTGCTGCTCCACACAAAGGGCAGTCCAAACTGCAGCTTTACCTTTGGCTCTTCCAATAGCTGAAAATACTCTGCGATTTATCAGGCTGCCTGACCCCCGAAACGACTGCTTTTGTTCAAGAGCGGAAAAGCACTGCTGTGACTTCAGAGTTCTCCTGAATTTTGCTAGTCCCAGGTCCTCAAATGTGGATATTTGGTTTGGACTACAGGCAAGAACTGTCAGCCTGACTATATTTGGTCAGAAAAAACATTCCTGGCTTTATTTTCTGCACAGTGTCTAAATGCAGTGGAACACATTACAGTTTGAGGAAATCCATATGGTGTAATGGGGAACAAGAGAGGAAGGCAAGGGGCAGAACTGGCTTTGGTTGATCTTCATGCTGTCAGAAGCAGTGAGAAGGACCTGGATATCATTTTTAGAGCCAGGGTTTTCTATGCAGTCAGGGATGACTTATCTTGAGATCTCTGCATGCAGTGAACGTCACACTAAAAAGTTATTTCTAAATGGCTGTCAGAAGGGAACAAATGTTGCATGAAACCCACAGCAGTCAGCTGGAGACCCTGGGGAACATAAAGGAGCAGATCATTTGCACAACACACCACACAGCCCTTGTTAAGGCACCGCAGTCTCAGTTTGCTCTTTTCAATCTTAATTCCTGCGATAGTGCATATTATTCAGCATTGGAACAAACTGCTCCCACCAGCTTCCCCCATCCTAAACAGAGAGCTCCTACACAGGGGTGGGGAAGACAGAAAGAAGGACCTTATCATGTCTGGTGACTTGGACTGAGAGCTGCAGTGTTTCATCTCCAGGGCACGGGTCCAAACCCAGGCCACAGGCAGGGGAGGGGGAATGCACACAGCTGAATGTGATTTACCACATATTGGCTCCTTGGTGGCCCATGTGAAAAGAATTAGCAAATCCTCATATAGCTCTTATTTTAAAAAGAACTTAAATATTTATCCCTTCATCTCACAACTCGGAAAAAGAAATTCCTGCGTGGTTCCTGTGGGAATGGCAGTTAGAAGCTGTACTTTTTCAGTAGGTCACACGCTAGAAAGAGCTGTGACGGCTGCACCAGGAAGCAACGCTCCCCAGGGAGGAGGAGAATGAGAATGTCCTTCTAGTCCCCAGATATTCACCCTGTTCCTGTCGTGCAGCCCCTTGCAATCAGCTGATATTCCTAGAAAAATCCATGGTCTGCTGAATAGCAAAAGAGCTGAAAACAAGGGCTTGCTCCAGCTGGCAAAGGAAATGGAATACTTTGCTCAACTGTCAATCTGAAGCTGCAGCTCACAGAATTGCCTCTGCTGGCCTGACCCCGTGTTACCAAAGAGATGTGGTCCTGACCCCAGCTAGGAGCTCAGCATCCCACGCCTGGCCAGGCAGTGATCAGGACTTCAAGAAGGAAATGAAGGAGAATTTTTTCTTGATGTACAGATAATGTCCATAAAGGAATAAGAATCACTTCCCTGGGTTCTGGGGTATTTCTCTTGTTGCCCTTTGCTAGGCTATGTTCATCAGTTGTAATCCATTTGTGGATGAACCCGTCTTCCTCAAAACATGGGAACAGAACAGACTAGTGGGAAAAAAATCAAAGGAGTAATGGATTATTTTCATGACTTTAGACAAGCTCTCTCCACTCCCACAGTCTCATGCTGTCTGTAAAATGTGGAGTTTTGGCCATGCTTTAGAAACTGTCTGAAAGAGATACTTCTGCACTGCAATACCAAAGCAGTACAGGGAAGGGAACAGAGGAAAAAGCTCTAGACATACTATGAAAACCTGGACGGGGGTGAAAATGACGCTCAAAGACTGAAAAGCATATTGGAAAAGTAAATTAAAAACAAACAGCCTTGAGAAAACCAAACGGCTACAAATCCACAGAGCCGAGTTTGGTTTTGACATTAAGAGAAGGAAAGAGCATCTATACCAGAAAAAAAGAAATAAAGCAGTGTTATTTCATGGGTAAAGGAAGACTTTGCAAAGGGAAGGCTAACGAACACTGAAGACCAACAAGAGAACCTTGCTCTACTGCAAGGAATTTTCCTTATCTAGACAGGCCTGAGAACCCAGTCTTCCAGGCTCAGATGCAGTGCTTCACATTGTGCTGCAGATATTAACGACGTTTCCAGAGAAGGAACCTTCTGACCATGCCGTGAGTTTTCCATTCTGTGAAGCTCCCTGGGTGTGGAATTCCTTACGCAGTGCAGAGCACCTCCATGGCATCCTAACGCCCACCGCAGCCACAGCAAGGAGCTTCTGAGGGACAACAGAGCTCCTTTCTGCAGCAATTGCAAACCTCGTTGTTCTGCTTGACAGGATAACCCAGGGGCAGTTCATTTCAGGGATGGCAAGGATACATCTATCTTCCTTTAACTGCAAAAATAAGGTGATATTAAAATACTTATGAAATGGGAAGCGTCCCCCAGCACTGGCTGCACTAAGAGTTCGCTCCAGTTTTAGCCAAGTCACCCAGTTGCACTGAATAAATCTTCTGTCTGCTCAGATGGAAGCTGTCCCCAGTGGCTGTTTGTATTCACTCAGAACACACTAAACCCATGCCTAAGGAAATGCTGCAAATACAGCTCTGCTTGGTTGGATCACGGCAGTGATGATAAATGGGGCAGAACCTCCAGATTATAGAAGGCCTAAGAATGGGTAAAGGGCTTCTGCTCCCTGCAAGCTCGTGTCCTTACTTTGCCCAGAATAATGGCAGGTTTACAGAATCAATTTTCCATGAAAATCCAACTGCATGAAAAGCCTGCTCATGAGACCAGCTGCCAACTCAAATACCAGTCTCCCAGCTGGATTAGCACACTACCTGCCAGGAAAAAATTAAGTGGCAGCATGCATAAAAAACTAACAAAGTAAAAGTGGTTAAATTTGGTACAAAGTGTTTCCTGAGGCTTTGCTAAAACGGAATAAACAGGCAGAGAAGCACATCAACTCCTTTGTATTGTAAAGGAAGCAAATACATTCCTCTATAATAGAAGACTGACCGAGAAAGAGCATCTTCATTTAGAGGCTGACCAGAGCAAAGAAATAAACTGTGTCCATTTGAAAATGATGGCCAAGGCTGCATAAGCCAGTAGACATTTTCTATAAAGCGTCCACCCCAGGAGTCCGAGTCAAAGCAAAAAGACACTGAGCAGAGTCTGCTGCAGCACTGCGACGGAAAACCTTGGGCATCAGTTCATTATGCCTTGCTCTGAGACAGTCAAAAATACTGGATTATAACATACAGTTTTCCCCTACTGCCCAAAGTGAGAGAACGTTTTGTAAATTTGGTAATTCTCACAGCCAGAGCTCTCAGAACTGGTCAGCAAATGCTGCAATGGATTCAAGTAATCCTAGGAATACTGTTACCAGTTTCAGTGTCATGAGAAGCATTCACATCAACCATAAATACTGCAGAAAAATTGCAACCAGAAGAGCCCATTTAATGGAAAGAAAAACCATCTCCTGCTTTTGTAGGTCAGTTGAGAAATGCGAGCTGACATTTCAGTTAGGAGGATTACATAAAGCCCATTAGTTTTAGCATAAACCTGTCTCAGCTGCTGCCCCGTGTTTAAAGTTTTATCCCAGAAAGAAGCAAAATCTTTCCCTTTCAAAAGCAGCACTGCTGCGAGGTACAGAGCTGCATTTTGGGAGGTGGCAACAAGGCCCACGGGAAACATGGAGCTCCACATCTGATTTCCCAAAGACCTTTCAGTCTTATTTGTGAGAGACCAATTAATAAGAAACATCCCACACAATTATTTGCCATCCGTGCTGAATAGCTAATAGCTCTGTTTGCCTTTTACTTTTTAAAGGAGCATTTACCTACTGCTGCGCCATCTCCGCACCTCTTCCCAACCCACTGCTGTCCTGCATCCAGTAACAACACCAACTGGTAGCAAGAGGCTAAAAGGCAGCAATGCCTTCTCCCATCTTGCCCCTTTCCCTCTTCTGTCATCACCTCAGCCTAGATTCTTGGCTCCTTTCTTGCCTGCTACACATCTCTCTTCTCATGCCTCAGATTTAAGCCTGTACTGAAGCAGAACTATTCTGCAGACCGGGATTACGGTACAGATTACACAAGTTAGCAATAAATCCAGTAACCATTTCTCCCAGCTTGGCACTCAGCTGGCCACACATCACTTTGATCCTGGCCCTACACACAGCCAGGCTTACAAGGAAAGACAAAGCAGCAGCATCCCCTCCTGCCCTCCAGACCCTCAGCCTCCCACAGGCTGAACCTGCCATTACAAAACACATACCTGGCACGTGGAGGCACCTGTTTGCCTTCTGCTTCTCTCTTGCTGCTGCAAATCCGCTGCCTATCTTGCTTTTTCTCTGTTGCAGTGCAGCAATTTCATCTTCCTAGTGAGAAGGAGGGAAGGGTCAAAATGTTGCTTAACAGCTCAACTTCTGCTCCTTGGGCACCAAAAGCAATCACAGCAAAAACAGGAAAGTAAAAGAATATAATCCTAACCTCAAAGTTATGTTTACAAACAATTTCTGTATTCTTTCAGCAGGCATAGCGTGCTTTGCAAAACTCTTATTTAGCAATACAGAGACTCAGAAAGCAACTCAATTTACTGCAACAGCTGTGCAACTTAGAAGGAGGAATCCAGTCTTCCTACAGAGCTGTGCCAGAGGAGGCTCAAACTGCACATTAGGAAAAGCTTTGTTATCCTGAGGGTGGTCAAACAGGGGAACCATTCTAAGACAGTTTTCTTTCAAGGGGAATAAACACTCCATCAGCTTTCCAAAGAAGTAACAAAAAAACCCCCAAGGAAGTGCTCCCTGCTGCTTTTTCCTGAATAAGCTGAAGTGTAATAGATGAGAATAACACAACAAGCATTGAACAGTGTCCACCTCTGTGCCCTGCTCCTGAAGTGCCAGAACACACACATGCATTTAACATACACGATAAAGCATCAGTTGGTTTCACCTTCATTAAATCACATTTGGACGTGGAGTAGAGGCTTATAAAAGAACTGTATTTCAGAAAATACTTGGCACGTGGTGTGCAATACACATTCTGGAAAATTATTCATCTGTAGCAAACAGTGGCAAAGCTCTTATGTTACAGTGATGGTTCAGTCTCATACTTGCAGCAAACAGCCTTGGTACCCTCCTCTTCCCTTGATACCCCATCACAGCACAGCAAAGACTTCAGGTCTTGTTTAATCGTGAGGAAGTTATTCCAACACCAACTTCCAGGCAGGAAGTCAGTGAGCAGCTGTAACTCTGATCTTTACCAAAACTTCACCAAAGCTGATTGTGAAATTCAGCTCCAGCTTATTTGGGCATTAAACACTGCCCAACTTAGGGCTAAATCTGACCCATTTTTGTAGCTCTATGTCAGAAACACCATGAATGACAACACCTTATAAATGAGTATTTGGAGAAAGAGCATATGAATCAGAGACAATGAGACAAAGCTTTCTCACAGCACCAAGAAATCATGATGAAGTAACAGACATGTCTGTAGCTACCATATATTGCACAAAGATTTCATTCATTCCAATATTTGCCATCTCTTTATGAGTGAAAAAAGATAGCAGAGGAACACAGTATTGGTGTTGGTTTTTTTTCTTAAATAGTGCTTGCAAGGTAAAACAAACAGCATCACTTGTGTATAATTGTGTCATCAAGGATATACACCACACACACAGACATATGTATACATACACACACGGCACACTAGCCCTACAGGATGCCACTTCTGCCAAGTTACTTTACAGGACAGATTCACCAGGTAATATTTCTTCAGTCACACAGTTGGAAAACACAGTACAGCCAGATCCATATTTCAGCTACTGTTTGTACATTCATTTTAATGCTCAGGAAAATATAATTTTATTTTATTAAGTTCTGCTGCAAAACAAAGAAAAATGAAATCCTTCTCATTTCTTCATTATTACTCTATTTACTTTACACTTCGATTGGAGCATTTAACACCTGCCTTTGGCGTTATGGTTAGAAAGCTCAGGAGTCTCTGAACACAGTTGTGCAAAAAATAAAATATGGAAGAATGTCACTTAGAGAAGTTTTTGTTGTAACGTGTTTTCTCTGATCAGTGTTCACTACTTTATCTCTAAGGCACACACACTCTGTCTCTAGGATCTCATCACAGCCAGATTTGTCTGTCAGTCCAAATCTTGTTGAGCCTTGAAGTACCAGTTCAGAGAGCATGCTGTCTTAGGACATTACCTCCCTACCACTGACAGGCACCAAGGACTGATGGCCACAACTGATCTCCTCTGGTATCTCCTTGCACAAAGTGCAAGCATTTGCTGTGCCTGCTGAGGTACCACAAATATCCTTCTACAGCATCGCAAGGCTGCAAATCTGACACTGCAGGCAGCAGACAGGATGCAGTCACTGGAGCAGGAGGCCTCTGCAAACATCTGCACGTGGAAGTCTCTGGTCTGAAAGCCTCTTCTGCCTTCAGACAGTTCAGCGTTCGTTACTTTGTGTCTTTCCAATGGACAGGCAGCACAAGGTGAGGTGACTGCCCTCCAGCACTGCTCCTCACCCTTATGATGCTGCAATGGAGGACGCTCCCTCCCCTCCACCTTCACCCGAGTCACGTTTTCCCCCTCTTTCACACTGGCTTTGCTGGAAGCCAGACCGAGCAGCGCTTTTCATCTGTAATGCGAACAAAAAGGATGTAAAGGAGGTGGGAACGGGAAGGGAAGCAAGTGTTTCCTTAGACAAAGATCTGAATCCTCTCCCGGATAGCCTGCCGGCAGATGGGGCACACAGTAAGAGCTGTACTGCAGTCTGGGCAAGAGCCATGTCCGCACTGGAAGACCAGTTTGATTTGGTCATCGATGCAAATAGGGCAGGTGATGCGCTCCTCCATCTGCCGGTAGCGGTTCTGCAGCTCCTCCATCAGCTTCCTCTGATCTGTGGACTCAGAGCTTGGGCTGCACTCCACCTCGGTGCTGTCTGCAGGGGAGGGAGAGCAGGAAGAGTCAGTTGCTATTGTGCTCTGTCTCATGCAGTGTCTCCTTAACCAGACTGTCACTCAAAGAGCAGAAATTCATTCAGATTAAAGTCACTTCAGTGAACCTTATCCAGAGATAATGCAAACACAAAGCCCGAGACGATGCTTTTTATGAACTGGCCAGTGGTGCTTTCCTCTGTTCTGTTGCTCAACTGTTATTTGTTTTGGTTTTTTTTCCTCTTTCAGTCTGCATGTTTCTTTCCTAAGAAGAAACCATGCTGTCTGATACTTCCTGCCTTGCTGCTTTGCAATATGTTGGTGCTACCTTTAAGTAGAAGCTTTCCAAGCTGGTTGTGATGTTCTGCCATACAGTCTGGGAATCCTCACTGTGCTATCAGTACTATGTTCTTTCAATCTCCTTGATTACACTTTGGATTTCTTAAGTCTTTCAGGACACACAGGGTATAAAACAAGAAACCATCTGACATCGCTTACATCAACAGCTACACAAAGCAGAGTCCCAGAGTCAACACAACATACACAATTCAGTGAACCTTACAGAGATCCTTGGCTCTTAACCAGATGAAGTGAAAGAACCCCAGATACTTAACAACTGCCAGCTTTGGGAAACACTCCTTCCAGTTTCAGCTTAACATAGCTGCTGTTGAATCTTCTGCTCCTTACTCTTTGATTAGATAGCTCAACATTTCAATTTAGTTGTCCCTTTCCTCACCACTCTGGAATGATGCTATAGGTACCATATCCCCTTTTCTCCCTCACTCTTCCTGCAAAAAAGTTATCCCTATTTCTTATGTTTTTGTTTTTTTCCCCCCCACCGAGAACCACTGATTGCTGCTGAACAAATGCTGTGAAGCACCTTTCCCAATTCACTGCACTGAACAGTAGGTACAACAAACATACCTTGCTTGAGTTTTTTGGTTATCGTCACTTGACATTTGATGCACTTCTTCATTCTTCTGGAACATTCTACCAAAACGATAGAAGGAGTGATTACAATTAAGCCCAGTGGTGCAAGAACAATAGGGAGAAAATAGACTTGAGAACATCAGCTTTTAAATGGCCTGAGAACTCCTTGGATGGTTAAGAAATGGAAATGAGGACACTGCCTTCTTTTTTTGAGCTACACCCTTATCACTGTTTCAGTCTTTCCTATGCAGTAGCAAACACAACACAACTTCCCAATGCTCTGTGCTGCCAGAACTGCTGAGCTATGGGTGCAATGCAGCTCTTCGTTCTTTGGAAGATTGCAGTCCTTCTACAGCTCTTATCAAACTCCTCGTGGTCAGATTGAAGGCACCTTAACAAGGTAACAAGCTTGCTGTTATGTTTGAGCAAGCTGCCATTAAAACATCTGAAACACAAATTGGTCACAACAGCCAGAGAAGGGGAAATCTTTCTCAGGAGGTTTTGATGGAGAAAGCACCACCAGTTACCACTGAAACATCTGACCTGCCTTCTGAATTACACACAGCATCTGTAAGCTCATGCCTGGGCTGCCTATCAGCAGCTGCTCAGACCACTCCGAGCCTACCACAGAAAGCTTGGACACTCCATCTACAGTGACAGTGCAGAAATCATGCTGGGATTGTTCCAGGTCACATACAGCTTTGCATCCCAACAGACCTTGATTTATGAGTCCAGACAGGGAGGCTATGTGGCAGAACAGGAAAGGAAAGCAGAACGGACTTACCCTCACAAACAATACTGTGCTGGCATGGGAAGAAATGGATGAGCAAGGCCAGCTCTGAGCAGACCAGGCACTCTGTGGGGACTGCCACACTTGAGACACTAAGATTGGTCATCGTATTGGGAGTGGTATGCACGCGGCGAAGGCTGCAGGTGATGGCTGAGCAGTCTGAAGAAACCTGCTGTTCCCTGCAACCAAAAACACGTAATCAAATTTGAGCCATATACTCCAGGCCCTTCTTCAGTGACCTGATAAAATCGTATTGATCCCTGGCAAACATTCCACGTGAGGACAAAGATGCAGATGCTCAGGTAGCACAAAGTTGTCAATCTTCATTGCACTAACAAGACCAACTCAGCCTCCTGTTGGGATTAGCACTGATCTTTCTACAAAGAAATGGAGAAGGCAGGCATGACTAACATTTACAGTGCCAGCAACTAACTCCAGGTGAAACGAGAAGTGCTCAGATTGACATCTAATGCCAGTGTTTTAGGGATGCTTCATCCTTCCTGGAATGGCAGCTTCATGCAGTGATACCACAGCAGTGTATCTAGACATGGTAGCTATTTCAGAGGGCATGGTTTACCTGAATTTCTGTGAGAAGTCTTTGATGATTTGGACAATCCTTCCGTCTGTAATAAGGTCTAAAGGAGACTTTCCCCGATGGTTTGCATAATTAATATCTGCTCCTTCCTGTGCTAAGTAACATGCAATTGCAGTTCCAACATTCAGCTCTACATTTCCAAGAAAGCCAGAAGCCTGCAGCTAAAATGCATTGAGAAACACTCTGTTAATAGGAGGAGTTCTGTTACGTAGCTGTATCAGATTTAAAACTGTAATCATCACACTGACAATCTGAGAGCACAGTTTTGCATTCACGAAATGCAAGATGATCCTTCACTGTATAAACAGCAGATTCAAACCTTGTATTCAGGAACAAGCAGGCATAAAACTGGTCCTAACTGGCACTAATCATTACTAACCATGGTAAGGGGTATTCACTTCTTCAGTCAGAGGACAAGAATTACAGAGTGTATACTGAAAGAACAGCACATATCAGCTGATGGGCAGCTGGCATACGGAACCTGAAGTGGTAGCTATTTAAACACACCTTGTGTGCACACAATCCAAACTCATCTGAAGTCAAAAACAATTCTCTGCTGACATGAAGGACACGGCCTAGTATTCCTCATATATCCATGAATATGGTGCAATGTAATTAAGTCCAGTTCAGGCTTTACAACAACACAGCTTTCATCATATATTGGTATGTGTCATCTTTTGCGTATCTGCAGATGAAGAGCAGCAACTGGGTGCTTGTGGTTAGCTAGCCTCTCATTTTCCATGCCATCAGACAGAAATGAATTTCTGTGGTTCTGGGGCATGAATTAAACCCAAAGACTCTTGGCTCTGTGAGCAGATTCATGACCTTTCCCATGTCAAAGAAAGAAGCACGCTATGCTAGCAAAAACATGTTACAGGAAAAATTGGTGCGTGACTATGGGAAGCTGCATGCTTCAAATCTGAGCATACTCTCAACAGATTTATTCTCCTATAAGCAAGACTGTTTGCTTCCATGCTCCTCAACAGAACAGACTTTGCACTATTTCACTGCCTTCCTTCACCCATTTAGTGTCCGTTCCACAATCAAGCATTCTCCTATTCCCAGCTCACCTTGGAGAAGAGGGACGACCCCATCTCCCCTTCACGCTTCTCCATCAGGACTGACATCAGCTGCTGCCGTTCCAAGGCAATGTGCATGGCTGTGTCCCCATCCTCATCTTCAGCATTTACATCGCTGCCTTCACTGACCAGCAGCTGCACCAGCCCTACATGTCCCTGGATGATAGCGAGGTGCAGAGGTGTTTGGTTCCGGCTGTTCTTGACATTGACATCACAGCGACCCTTGAAGAGAAGAATTGCATCAAACAAGAGGAGTTGTTGCTGCTGCTGAGTTTGACTGAAGAAGAGTGCTGCAGCTGTGCTTGCTGACGCCCCAACTCTCAACTCCATCTTCAGGACAGAAATGTAAGCACCTCCAAGAGAATGCTGTGTGAATCAGCCCCTGCACCTTGGCCGTATGACCAACACACCTCCACATCACACACAGCATTAACTCAGCACTGCTTAGGAGAAAGTATGGGATTTTGAGGGTGGAAAAGCTAGAAAATTTGTTGGCAGTTTTGTTTTGCTTCTTACCTCTTTGATGAGAATTTCTGCCACTTCTTTGTGATTATTGAGAGCAGCAAGGTGCAGGGCAGTGAAGCCGTCTTCTTTTTTGGAGTCAACCAACTGTCGAGCTCTTGCTAGAATCTTCTTTATGGCTCTGCAGTGTTGGAGGTAAACCAGAGGTGGAAGGTACTTTATCAAGAAGGAAAACAATGCAGAACAAACAGGTCTGCCTCTTCTGATCAGCAGTTATGAATGTTCTTTAAATTTAAATGAGCAGCACTGTGCTTGTTAAAACTGAGCCAGCAGATGCGATGCAGAACGCTCCTGCTATGTTGCAGACAGTTACAAGAATAAAACAATACATATGTATATTGATCATTTTTGTCAGCACAATCACCACAGAGAACCACACTCCTTTCCAGTGCTGCTACACCTGCACGTATTTTCAGGGCAAATTCTGCCTTTGTCTTTCTTAGGTATTGGACGATTATTTATAACAGGTCTTTGCTAGCAGCTTTAGTGAGGCAGAGCATTAGGTTTCCCAGCTGCCTTCAGATGCTGCACGCACTGTCAGGAAGCTTGCTGCAGTGAAGTGGCACTGCCTGTCTGTACTGTTTGCCATTGCCAGAAAACCAAGCTGCAGATAACCTGCACAGATCTTCCAGTTCTTCTGAGGTCTGCCAAAAACTGTGTAGTTACATGGGTTGCTTTTCTCTGTTTAGAGATACAGCTTACTCATTACACAGAGAGCAGAGAACAAAACACCTTGCTGCTATCTTCTTTCAATGCTGATAATAGTGAGGAATGCTCATTTCTTGTCTGACTCTTGAAACATTAAGTCTGTTTCTGTGCCTTTAATATCTATAAGGCTCCATGCAGAGTTAGCTTCAAGAAACACAACAGAGGAGTGCAGGAAGCTGGAATTTAATGGATAGAATACTGCACTTGTATCAATTAAAATATCTCAGGTTGGGTGCAGCAAGTAAGATGATCTCAGCCTCTCCCTTCTTTGCCAAGAAACCATTTCTGCAGAGAATTAACATATTACCAGAACAACTACAACGTAAAGAAGGGAGGAAAAGGAGAAGTCTCAGGTTCTTGGGTGATCATTCTTTTGCAAAAGCAGGCAGAGTACACAAAAATTGGCACCTGCCCCCCACCACAGGCACCACACGCACATAGCCTCTGCTTACATCCACCAAAGAATTACTGCTAGATCAAAGAATTCACTACATGAAGTCCCTGATAGGCAGTCAGTTCCTCCACCTCAATTAGGTGCTGCCCAGCTGGGGTTCACAGCTGTCTCAATAAGCATTTGGCAAGATTTTATCACCATCTAATCTCAGAGTGCCTAACCAATCTGTGTGTTTTTCCCAGGAATGCATGCCATTGTTCATTCACTTACAGCTTGTTGCCTTTTAGAGCAGAATAGTGGAGCAGATTGAAGCCTTGACAGTTCTGGACAGTGAAATCAATGTTGGGTACCTCAGTGAGAATCTCAATGATGACTTTGTAATCTGCAGTGATAGCATAATGCAGGGGGGTGTCTCCATGAGAATCCTATAACAGAATACCAAAACAGAATACAGGTTACCTAGAAGTGTCCAATTAAGCACACTGTGCAAGACAGGAACATATGCAGTCTTCCAGGTCACATCAACTCCAGACCAAAAAGCACTGTCATGCTGAGCAGTTTCAGAGTTCTTGTGAACTCAGTTTCTCAGAGCTTGATATCAGCAGCTCAGCAGACAAATGTTCATATTCCTGGCTTTGAGGGACTGATTCAGCACTGTCCAGTTCTAAGAGCATAGAAACAAGCCCTAAAAAACAGGCTGGATCCAACTCACCACCACTGTCCTTCAAGTTCCTCAGCATTAGTTCTAACAACCTCATCAGTCCTGGGAACAGGACAGTCACAACATCACACATTAGGAGCAGATGAGCTCTCACTGGAAGCAAGCACAGCAGAGAGTACTACTGGTCTGAGCTAAGCAGATTTAAAATGAAAGATGTAGACCCAAAACTGGAATTTCTGAGCAGTGAATTTAGAAGCATGCTTCCCCAGTGCAGCACACAGTAACGTGTTATAAAGAGAACTGTCTTCAAATTCTAAGCAACAAATGATGGAAGAGAAAAGCAGCAATTTCTCCCCCCAAAACAAAAAACATCATCACACAAGGAACACCAAAAGGGATCCAAAACTTACTGGGAGGTTGACATCACAGTTGAGTTCACAGAGGGCCTGCACCACTTCTGTGAAGCCTTGACTGACAGCAACATACAAAGCTGTGCACTTGGCATTGTTTAACAGGTCTGCACCAGCTCCTTTAGCAATAAGCACACGGGCAACATCAGCTTGGTTTCTGATTTAAAGGCAAGGAGTAAAACAGTCAATGCTGTGCAAACATATATTCTCCCTTTTTGCAAGCCAAACCTTCTTGGCATTTGCATCCTCTTAATCACACTCCATCTCCTCTTAAATCACTCTGATTTAAATCAGCTAGTACCTCCCCCTCTCAATAGTAAATTCTTGGCTTACAACAGGCAAACCAAACTAATCCCAACCAACTTTTCCTCACACCCCAGAAAACATCACTGAAAGCTCCTTATCACGTGTTTTGATTCCTCACAAGTTTTGTAGCACAGACACTGACTGAGCCGTGGATTGAATTAGCGTGTCTGTGGTCCTGAAGCTCGTGTGCCAATTTCTAATGACGTAAAGAAGTCTCCCTCTTTACCTTCTCTCACACACTGCACACAGATGGTTCACATGTTATCTATGAGTTTCCTTTTTTTAGCCCTTTCAGTCTTGTATCAAAGAGGGCAAGAAAAGATCTCCTACCCAAAAGCTGCGTAGTGCAGTGCTGTATCCCCTTCTTCATCCCTCAGATTGACAGTGGCATGTGCCTGCAGCAAAATCTTCACAACATCCAGATGCCCCTGATAGGAGGCAATCTGGAGTGCAGTTCTGCCCTGATTCTTGTTGTCGACCTGCAGGAAAGACAGAGACATAGCAAACAGCAAGGAAAGACCTTGCCTTGAGTTCAATCACTGCACAACAGTGGTGTGCTCAAATACTAAACAGAATCTGCGTCCTGGTGGCTCTGCTTTATGTAATCAACTACAAGGCTGACTTTCTCCCTAACTATTCTTAAAGGAGAAAAGGACAGCACATTTAGTCAAGAAGGGAGAAATAAGCAAACAGAGCTGGAAGCCAGGGCACTGATTGCAGCACCGATGCCAAATCCCTCTATGCCTGCAAGCGGAATACTTCTTGACACTGCAGCCAACTATTCCTTTTCTAATTGGAAAATGCATGAGGAGATCAAATTGGCTTTGAAAATGCCAAGTCCCCATTGCTTAATGTTACTCCAGGTACTTTAGTGGGCACTGTGCTGGAGGGTAAATCAGTGTTGAGGTGCTGCAATGAGATTTCTCAAAAATTAAAGGGACTGAAGAATAAAAAGAGGCTGTATGAAAGGCAAGACAAAAAAAGGAAAGGGAGCTACTGAGATCAGCAGGAGGCTAAAGAGAAGAGATGAAGGAGCTGGCAGAACCTCAGCTGACTGGCAAGCAGAACAGCTTTCTTTTTCCTTGCAGCTGGTTCTATGCAGCAATCAGGAGAGCAGGACAGGCTAGGCTCCCCTTGATTCACTGGTGACTATGGGCGAGTTGCTCCACAAGGAGGCTTTAGAGACCACTGTGTTATTCTTACATTTACACAAGAAAGACAACGCTGCAACTGGAAAGCCCTAGGCAAGCAATTCTAACTTGCACTATGAAGTGAGCCTTTCCTTGGTGCATGTCTCTTACACAAATAACAATGCATTAATATCAGAATAGATTTCTATTTTATGTTCTATTTCTAACAGAAATTAATAGTAACAAAATATTCCTTGACTCTTGGCACTTTCTTATCTGAAAACAATCACAGGTGTTCAGCTACTCCTATCTCCAGAACTCCCATTAACCTCATAAATAAGGATGGAGATGGAACCTTCCAATAGACAGCTTGGAAAAGCAGCTGTGTGAGTAGATGGATCCTAACAGTTTGGCACACTGCAAGCATATGAATTGTTCCAGCAAGTCAAGTCCAGTTCCCTTCTCCAGTCAGACACCAGATAAGGACACTGCACAGACATGCACAGCATCAGAATCTGGGCAGCTTTTCTTTCCTGTTTCCAACAGTTCTATTTAGCAAGGTCACGTAAGGACAGATGCATTCAGTCACACACAACCTGCTGCTTTCTTCTCAGACAGGAGTCAGATTCTTGGCATCTTGCTATTGTCTCCATATACATATATATGAAGCACAAATTCTACAGCTGCAGTATCCATACAGGACACCTGAGAATATGTTATAAGGATGTAGCTCCAGTTCTGCTTTAATGCCACACTCTGACATCATACAACATGCACATTTTTAATCCTAAATTGTAGCACTGTATTGAATAATTTAATACAAGGTCTGAGAAATCTATCATTTTTTTCCTGCTCCTCCCCTCACACAAATACAAAATTTTTATGATCTCATTTTAAAGCACGTCAGAAAGTAAACATTCAGGATGCTTTCAAAACTTGCCTTGTCTGGGTACTTCTGAAGGAGCTCCCGAACTCTGGCTGCATTGTTGAGTGCTGCCCAAATAACCAAACACCCTGCATGGTCTGATTCTGTCTTCTGAGACAACAGTTTCTCCAACACAGTAATCAAAGTGCCTGGGTAGGAATAAGAAACAGCCACAGCTTAACAGCACCAAAGAGTATGTGTGGATATTCATGTTGCATTTCTCAACCCCTGACAATCCAGACATCTCCATTCTCTTTGTCTCACTTTTTGATTCCTTTGCATTCTCTGTTGTCATGAGATTTGCTTCCTCATCTCTCTGATAGGCTGTCAGGCAAGCTGGGTTAAATGTCCAGGACTGGTCTCCAACTGACACTCGCAGATCTCCATCCCCATACACTTTGATCACTTTGCCAATGTGCCCTAGGGTCTGCAATTGAAAGGGTAATGATTTTTAAAAGGAAAGATGCAGCATGCTTTTTATCTCAGAACCAAAGCAATGCTTCTAAGAGAGGTTTTGCAGGCAGCACCCCTGCAGTGTGAAAAGAAACACTAAACAAACACTCACAGACAGCTCCCACTTCAAGGATACCACAAGGTTCTCAGCAGTTTCTCTGTAACTGAACAGGGTTTCCCAGACACATTACAAATGTTTGGGAAAAGCTGATGAAACAACAAACCAAGAACTGATAAAACTGGGATTAGGAAAAGGTTTCCTCTGTGCCTTTAACTACTCCTGGAGGACATCCATGTTCTTTAGCCATACTGGTCAGCTCTGACCAATTTTCCACACTCAAGCACTGCTTCATTCCCAAGAATCAGGAAGGGCTCAGGAGGATTTCAGTTGAAGAAACTTCTTATTTGACTTATTGATAGCCAAACCATTTGTCAGATTCCCCATCTACCCACTCCGCTTTGGGCTTTTCGATAGGATTATATTGCCAATAGCTAAGAGCAATATTTCTGTCCCAGAAAGGTCAGGAATGCTGCAGGGCAGTGTCACCATTACTAACTGCTGAGAAAAACTGAGGCAGTTGCTGGACTGTCCTGGAAGTGCTGCGTACTCACAGGTGCCATTTCATCTGTCCACTCCCCATGACCAGGCTGGAATCGCTTCACTGTTTCCATATCATCAATCACTCGGACAACATCACCAACCCAAAAGGTGTTGAGCTGCAAGAAAAAAGTCAAACTTAAGGGAGATTAAACAAAAAAATATATATATATGTATACATATATATATATGATATACATACCAGCCCCCACTCCCAGAAATCCCTACTGAACAATAAGTCCATCCACTTCAAAATAAGGCATCTCAAAACCTCAGTACAGCTACCAAGAAATCTGTAATCACTGCAAAATAAACACAGTCCAAGGGCTTGAGCATTTCTGTTTTAAGCCAAGTGCACATTAAAGTAGGGAAATATTTTGGGACAGAACAATCCTCTTCTTCAAAGCATTTATAAATAATACTAGAATGAAGTACTTGGAACTTTCCTTGGTCCATTCCTCACCATACCTGACACAACAGGAGACTTTAATACAGAAGTTCAACCTGTTGTTTAAAACAGAAAATCTCTGGTTTCTCTTTTCTGTAGCAATCCTTTCCCAGACACTGCCTCTGCTCACTAAGAAGGGACCACTGTCAGAACTCACAGACTAATTCTGCAGAAACTGTCCAACATGGGATGTTCTCTCAGCACAGCTTTTTGCTTGATGTTTGTTGGTTTTTTTTTTGTACTGTGACCTCATTCAGGACTTTCACAATTTTGTATTCTTCCAGAAGCTCCCTTCATACTTATTAGCCCTGCTTCTAACAATCCACATTGCAAACTCTCATTCCCCTCAGGGAAGGCCAGGCCTATCAGCTTTAGAAATGCAGATACAAAATTAGAAGAGATAGATTAAAAGACTCAGGTCATCCAGAACAATTAGAGAGAGGCAAGAGAAAAAAGATGGAAAAAATAGAACCTGAAGATATAAGGGGAAAAAAAATCAAATAGAAATGAAGTGGACAAAGGCTCATCTCAGATGAAAAAGGTAGCTACAGAAAGCTGAATTATCATAGATCAATTGTTACCACTCTCACCAAAGGAAATTACAGCAGAATATTTCTTTGACACTTGTTTGAGATGCACTGTGTCCTAACACAGCAGGACAAGCTGACAGCTATTCCCTGCAGTATTTAACTCTGGCCAAGCTCACCTAGCAGTACGTACCTTCGTCAGAGCTCCAGGATGGAAAGTCCAGCGGGTTTCACTGTTGAACTGGACCCTCACATCTCCTCTGTCCGTGATTCTGTGCACAGTCCCCGTCTGGCCAATGAACTTTGGAGGGGAAAAAAAACAGAGGGAAATCCCTACATAAACTGCACTGCTTAACAGTGAGGAAAGCAGGCAGGACAGTAAGAATGCAAAAGGTAAAAACACTTCAGAATACAGCACAAACTGCCCTCATCTTCGCAAATGATAGAAGTGGGAAAGATTGCTATGGTGCAGTATGACACCAGCAAGGTATACTCCATTAATGTAACTGGCAAGTTTATTCAATAAGCTGTTATCATTTTGTTTGAATGTAAGCTCACATCCAGTGTCCTATCACTACAGAATTCCTATTTGTGAACCATGGGACTTTCTATATTCTGCTTGCTTCCTAGCAAGCAGTTACTTCTGCAATCTGAGACAGTGACTGATAACGTGCTGAGAAAATAAAAGCAAGCTGTAGCATACCTCAGCCATTTTAGGATTCCAGCCCCCATGGCCCTCCTGCATCTCCCGCAAGATGTCGATGTCCAGCAGGCATTTCACTTTGTCCCCATGCTGGAATGGATGCCTGTCTGTGCTTTCTTTCCTCTGCAGTTCAGCTGGTTTTCCTAAAGAGAGTGACACCACCCACATACGTGTAGATGCAGTCATAAACTTTGTCTTGCATGCCTTTGTAACATGGTTTGCACATTAACATAAGGTCTAATGGGTGTAAGGTAATGTAAAACCCTTTCTCCACTTGTGGAGCACACTGTACACTCTATGGGGCAGCATGATGTAGACAGATCAAAGACTTTGTTCTTACTTGATAACGGTATGAATTAAACATGAGGTACTTCTAAGAAGACAATTTATTCCCTTCCCAGAAGAGAACGTGTTTGAATGATGCCTGTCCTGTTGTGTCAAACATCAGTGGCTGTCCTCAGCAACGCAGTCACCCAAACTGTTGTTCAGTGGGCACTCACACAGTGCTCAAAATGAGTCCTCTTCTCTTTGAATTGAAAAAGCTGACATTTGAATCAAATTCTTTGCTCTCAGATGCTGACATCCCCATAGGAATTTCATGAATCTTCACTATCATGACTCTGCCTTGACAGAAGACCCTTGGGGCTCCCCTGTGGGATACAGCTCTGGGCATCTGATGGTCTTATGTGACCTTACCACGGAGAGGACAAACAACTTTGCTAACCACCCTGAAGTAAAACAAATACATATTTTCTAAAGCACACACTATGCAGAAGTTTCCTAAAACCACATGCTCACGTCCTGTTTTCCAAGCAAAAAGGGCTTTACTGTCAGGAAACGGCAGTGCAAGTAACAATTTCTCAACAGAAGACCCGTACCCACACACCTAGTTTTGGGAGATGCTCTTTGTAGTAGAAGCCACCGGATGCCTCCACAGTACATTTCAGGTCCACTTTTCCCTTGTGTCCAACTCGGTAGACATTTGTGGTACCATCAGACCATGTGACACTGGCCACACTACGTCCAGTCTCCACATCCCAGCCACGAATATCAACCACACGTCCAGTTTTACCTTCACCACCTGGTGGGAAGAAGAGAAAAAAGTGTCCAGCTTGAATTTTCCCAGAGACCAAAAGACAGCTGACTCTGAGATGCTTCCTGAGATAAAATTTAATTACATTTTTCCTAAGAAAACAGCAAGGTGAAAACCCGTCCATTCATTAACTTCTCACCATGGAGCAGCAGCCCAAAGCTGAAGTCAGTAGCTGGGGAGGATGAAATTCTGACAGATGTTGCTGCCAGGAAGGATTTCTGTAAGGCACTGCCACTGACCTGTTCTGCATGATGAACTGAAGCACACAGATCTGCATCATCAGCAGCATCCTGCAGCAGCGCCCTCCAACCCAGTGTTCTTCACAAGACAACCAACCAACAAGAACTCGTTCAGCAGCTCACAAACCTTCCTCATACCTGGTGTGTCCCACCTTGATCTGCAGAAGGCACACCTTCTTAATTAAGGAACTCGACCTACTCAATTTGACCAACTGAGAGAATCTCCACGTGAAGCTCACTGAAAGCCAGCCAGCCATTTGCTCTTGAATACAAACACGGAAAAGCTGAATCCTGTAGAAGTGTACGTCGTTCTCTTGGCCTACAGAAACACTGCCTAGCTAGGGAGCACAGAATCATGGCACCACACTGTGGCAGAACAACACCACAATGCTGTAAGACCTGCCCAAAAACTTTAATCCTTCCGAAGCACTTGTGAGGTGAAAGAAGTTTGTTCTCATGCTTCTCTTCACCTGCACAGCAGAGAAGAATACCACTGAAATAGTTCAGAACATGAAGATATGTAAGTGAGAGAATAAATCTGTCCAGGCATGTGGCCATTCCCTCAACCAGGAGAGACAACTAGTTAGCAACACCAAATCTAGTGACAGGCAATCAAAACTGGCAGATTCACATCCTCATTCTGCCGCCAAGGCACTGCATGAACTTGGGCAAGTCCCAGCACTTGTCCAGTGCTGTCCCCCAGATGGGGTCAGCAACATCTGTATGTCTCACTGGGTTGACAGTGAGGTTCTAATTGCCTCTAATTGTCTGCAAATTCAACTCAAAGGAGCTGCCTTCCCCATCTAACTGCACACTGATCTAAAGAGGGTAATACAGACAAACTCGTGGGCTTTACTGTGATCTCCCCTTCCCTGTACAGCTGTTTCTTAAGAGCACTAGTGTCCATTTCCATGATGCTAGGATTCAGAGATGGCAGCAAGGAAAAGGTTGAAATGACTGAAGAGTTGCAAATGTCCACTTAGAGAAGAGCTGAGCAAAAATTCTCATCATTTGGCAAGTTTTGCAGTCAACACTAATTTCTGCAATCAGCTTCAGGCAACAGAATTATTTAAAAGCCACATGCAAATAAAAGATCATTCATTCGGAGTCCTCAACGAGATGCTACTGTCTTTAGCACAGACACACAAGGCCATGGCAATTAATACAAATGCTTAGCAGGACCCTGTGTTAAGAGTTTACAAGGCCACGTATTATCACTGCTTATATGTTCCTTAAATAGAAACAGAGCTGCTCTGCTATCAGGAAGCTAAGTTCTGAACAGCAAACAGCATGTGGATGGGGACAGGTCAAAGAGGAGGCAGCATCAATGGAGAACAGCTGAGCACCTGGCCTTCTATTTCCTCTCACTTGTTTTGCACGCAGCACTGCTTTCAGGTCATGACCATCGCAACCAACACAAGTCTTAGACATGTAAATGTTGATCTGATCTCAAAATGATGGATAAGCTGGACTGAGCATAAGCCTCTTTTGCTCTCAGACTCCACAAGTAATCACATCCTCCACTGAACCACAGAGCTGCAATAAATAGCGGAACCTTTGGACTTACAACTTCATTATCAAGAGAAAAAAGCTGTCAACAGGACAGTATGTACAAAACTCAGAGCAGAAACACACAGTACAACTGTCATAATCTTAAAGCACTACACAGAAATCGCTATCAGTGAGTTACAGTCATTATACCAAGCATTTTCAGCCCAAAGTTACAGTTCACACACAAAAATAAACCATTCTCCAGCAACAACAGCAGAAATTCTTCATTAGTGCTCCACATCACACTTAAGAACAGTGACGACAAACAGTCTGTAGTGTCCAAATAAGAATATTCCAGAGCCTTCCAAGGGAAAAGGGAACACCATACACAAAGTCAGACAAACCCTAATTCCCACTGAGTGGAAGCTTTTTCAGGAGAGGATAGGTCTTTATTTCTTTGCAACATGGTGTACATTTACAGTTCTATATAAGATCTTCCAGGATGGCTCCCATGAGTATTCACATCTATAAAATGGGAACAGCAAAACTTCCCTCCCACACCCTGAGTGAATGCATAGAGTCTATGTCACAGATGCACTTCTAAACAAATACAATAAATAATATTTAATTTACTAAAGAACAGAGGCCTGCATCATCTGAACAGTTCCCCTAAGAGCTACTGCTCAGCACACGCATTTTCAATTAGCAATATGGCACAAACAAAGAGAAGGGGAAAAAAGTCTAACAGTCTTTTTATAGGACATCTCAAAAGCAGCTTACCATCCTGGTTACCCCATTCCCAGTCTGGGCCACGGACTACTTTAGCCCCCTGGAAAGTCCCTTTTAACGTGATGCGAGTCAGATTCTGTCGAGGACTCACTAGGACTCTGAAAAACAAAATAAGACAAAGCAAGTTTATTATCACTACTTGGACTTCATCAAGATCTGTTCCATGCTTACAACAAAGCTTGAGTTCTGAAAAACATGTAAAGCATGAAAGAAAGCAATTAATAAAAATAATGGAGACTTTGATGCTACAAACTGGTCTCACCACGAAGGTCAGAACTCTTAGGTACTGTTGCATCGATAGCAGAAAGACAACCAGTGAGTAATAAACTGAGTTCAGCAGCCCGAAAGCCCCACTGTGACTTTAGGGCAATGTCTATGGGTGTTACTAGAGTGTACACTGCATGAAAGCTTTAATGGCTCAAGCAGTCTCTTAGCTCAGTCGCGAGGAGTTCAGCACATTTCATAACTTAAGCTGCAGACTGCACAGCCTAATTCACTTTCTGAAAAGCAGAGCAGATTAGAGTAGTGTTATGGCTAGACTGTTTTGTTTCCAGGATAACAAAGACCTTTATCTACCCAGCAGTCTGCATTTCAAGCATACACACTGATCTTAAGGAAAAAAACAGAACTACCTACGTGATAGTAAACAGGGGGTCTGACGTCCTGTTAAAGCAGCTTCCAATTCCCATAGTGTTACAGCAACTCCTCTGCTGGTCTTTCTGCGTGCTGTTCCTAGTTTCTGTTCCTTAGCAGAAAGCTTTTTGTAAGATACCAAGTCACTAAAGCTCTCACAGACCTGCTTGGTTCGGTCTCCTAGGATACAATCTGCTTTTCTAGGTGACTGCAGAGGTGCTGCAATCCATACCCTTCACTCTCCATCTCGTCCTGACAGGCTCCCAGCAACTCCCAGCCACAGCAGCTGCTCTGCAGGGCAAGGGGGGGAGCCTACCAGGAATAGGGCTGGCCTCAGAATACTGTGTTCATTTCCCATCTAATGCCTCCAGAGAGAAGGTGGAGACTCAGAAGGATAAAAAGCTTATGCTTGAACTCGTTGTTTACTTATCCATCAAAAGCCTAAGTCTTTTACCTTTCTTAACTTGCTAACATATCTCCTACCTGTGCTTTACAACCCTTTGCATCCTAGTGTAATTAAAAAGAGGGAGATTATATCCACATGTTCTTCCAGTAATTTATTTTACATTGTCCAGACTGTAGCTCTACATGGGGAAGATAAAGACCATTTTTTTGAATGGTTGTGTCAGGTCTGTGCCTTAAAAAGGGATAAATTGCTACAGACTGGTTTCAAAACCAGCATGGATTTGTGTATTACGACTGAAACAGCTGAGGTACAACATGCTGTTTTCACTGCCTTGAAATGATGACAGTAGGAAGCAAGAGAGAAAATACCACTGCACAAGGGCTCAATGCAGTTCCTGTTCTGCCACCAGCTTTGACCACATCATGCCATACCTCTACATCCCTGTCCTGAAACAGGGACAAGAACTCTTCCATCTTCTCTGCTTCTACTCAGCTTGCCTGAGCAGGGCCTATCTTTTGTGCTAAGAGATCCCCAGCTTTAACCCAGCTACCCTGAAGCTCTCTAAAACAAATGACAGCAGGGCAACACCATCTCCATGCAAGAAGCTCCATTCCCAATTCCACCTAAATGTTAGAGGCAACTCACCATAACTGCTGCCTCCCCTGGTCCCTCTACAATGCTGACCGTGTCTTGAACCACGCTGCTGACCAGCAGCTCAGAAGAATGATACAAGGTCCAGATGCCCTGAGCCAACACATCTTAAGTTTTAATTAAATTCAGCATGTTTTCCTCCAAATGCTGGACAAGAGCCAAAGTTATTAGCGTGTTGCAGAAATACCCAAGGGACAAAATTTAATGACTGCAATATTGCCTTTAATAACAATTTTAATTATTACAGCCATTCAAAGTCTGCAGTCATTTCTGTCCTACAAATTCCAATGATATTAAATTACTGTGGAGTCCAGAAGACACTTGGGAACGTGCTCTGTACAGAATGAAGCTATTCATCTCTTCAGCTCGCTGGGAACCACCCCCTGCTGATACTCTGCCTGTGCTCAATTTCCACTGAGGTGTTTACACAGCCTCCCACATCACTGAGAGCTATGCTAGGAAAATGGCATCATCCAGGCTTCACAGATAGAAGTTTAAGACCTAAACAACTCACTCACAGAAATTTAAACAGGCTGCTTTCAATCTGCAGTAGCAATAAGACCCTGCAGAAGTTGTAGCTGCTTCCTACCAGGCTCAGCTTATGGTTACTTTGTGAGGTAGCAGGCCATTAGTACTGTGTTAATTGGACCATCCCATATCTTTAGAGAAAGAGACGGTGCACACCCACACTTCCTCTAGACTGTATAAAAAAAAAGCAGAAAGATCCTGCAGAACCAACAGGTAAAACTGACACCAGCATAAGAAACTGCAGATTCTCTAATCCTCCCTAACAGAGCTTTCCTGAAGCACTTCCAGCAAAGGATAAAGGATGCTCTGACAGATGGCAAACGGGTGCCGACTGCTCCTGCATGAATCAGGCTAAGACAAGGATGCTGTCTGAGGGATCAGGATCACACAAACCTATTTCAAGAACTGTCTTCACCAAGAATTTCCTTTTTCCATTTCCAATCCTATTGCCACCTCCAGGCACAGTCTGCACAAAACTAGCTGCAAGTCTGAGGCCTCTGTTTATCTGCTAAATCCTGTTCTTTTTAAAGCTAAAATTCTACTCATTCATTAATAAGACTATAAATAAAATCATACTTAAACATTAAAAAACAGATTAGGAAACAAACAGATCAAGCAATGGTCAGATTCAGCTCAATGTTACGCACCAAAGTTTCTTGTCCTCTGTGACAAGGCATAAATAACACACCTTGAAGAGGCTGCCACAGTAAACAAACATGCATCCCCTTGACTGTCTAGTAATGAAATACCCAACAGCTGTCACTCAGCTCCAGTATTAGCTCAGGCTTTCATTATAAATGAACATAGAAGGAATGAAGAGTGGGCTGCTAAAAGCTGCCTTCAGTGCACACACTTGCTCTTTTAATGGGTCTGAGTTAGCAGTCCAAGTGGTGAGCTAGACAGGACAAAACCTGGTGAGTTTTGCTTTGCTATCTTGCTTACAGAGCCTGACTTACCTTCCAATTATTAAGCATGTAAAATTCAGCAAGTGGATAAAAGATCATTTTAAAAAAAGCAGTGAAATTGAGTCATCCAGCCATTTAAATTAAGAAAGAGAGCCACTCTCAGAATTAACAGTCATAAGTTGCAAATCAAATAAGATCAATAAAGAATGCCAGCAATTGGCAGACGTCAGGAAAAGAAATTCAAATGGCAAAATCTACAAAACCAATTCCTGCCACCAGCAGTTCAAAGTAGGTCATTTAAGACCCCAAACAGCTTTCAGGTAAAAGTGTCTTCAAAACCTCTTTAGAAAACTAATTGGGCAATGCTCTGCAGTGTCTGTCTGGACTTAAGGCCTCTTAACATCCTAGGATTAGTGAGCTGCTACAAACAGGTACTTGTTGGTCCTGCCTATGTTTAGCTGCACAGGTGTTATGTGGTAGGGATGGCAGCAGCTCAGTGCACAAGGCCATCACACTGTCATCCCTGCAGCTGTTCTGCCAAAGTTCTTGCCTTCCTATCACTGTGCTTGAGGTTGTTCATGTCCTCATTTCAGTGACCATAAGATTGCCATTCTCTGCTGGAAAAAGGAGGTGAGGGCCACGAGATCTAAGAGATCTCAGTGCTGTATTTCAGAGTCATTCAAACAACTGCAGGTGACAAGAACACCACAAGAAAAGCCAAACCCATACAGCAGTTACCTTGGTTTTCAATATGCAGCTTTTTTTTTTTTAAGCCCTTGGGGAGCTGCCAAAGGTTCTCACTTCTACTTCATTGAGCAAAAAAAAAAACCAAGAGAGATGAATGATCTAAGCGATAGTCTCTCCACAACACTGAGGCCTCAGTGATTCATAAGCAAGCAATTTTTGTTCTTCGAAAAGGATGCTGCACTGCCTAGGGCAATGTGTCTTTGCAGCTCAGACCTCACAGCATTGCTCAAGTGTGATCATCCCTACCAGCACTGCTGTTCGTTTCATGTATATACATATTTTTTTAAGCCAGAACATTCAATTCCTAATGCAATCTATGAACACCTGACCAACAAATCACAGAATTGTATTTGCATTAAAACAAAGGTGTTCTTCCTTCCTGCTTCCACACAGAGTAATTTCTGAGTAAAACTGGTTTAGGAGGAGCTCCCTGTATGAAAGCTCCTGCACAAAGCCCACACGCATTGCAGTTATAGCACAGTGTTCCACCATCCAGCTCAGTCAAATATGTGTAACAAAGAGCACTTCTGCCCAAACAGTTTCTCCAAAAGCTTAGTGACTGCCAAGAATAACAACCTGCACCTTTCATTCATCTTTGAAACTGCAGCTTTCCATAAACAGAAGCTTCCTCATCATGGATTTCTCATTTCTGCCCCCCAGCACAGCTACACTCAACACCTGCCACTTAGAAAGTCAGCAAAGATGTCACCTAACACAGTTACACCCACCTCTGCTTTTTACTCTCCCCTTTACCAAGTCTCCCAGAACCCATTTTGGCATCTGACAGGCTCACACTGTGTCCCCCATGTGTTTTGTAGCTTTGGGGATTGTTTTCTTAATTATTTTTATTAGTTGCCTGATAGTTCCTGCTAACATACAGCAGTGTTTTAGTGAAAAACTACCTCCAGAGAGCCTAGTAGTGCTTAGATGTTTCACAGCCAATATTCCAGAGTAGTGCTGCAGTGTACTGGCAAAGTCAGACAAGTCACACAGGACAATACTAGGTCTGGCAAGTTTACTGGCAGCCTTCCAAACTCTCTTCTCACACTGACAGCAAGCAGCACACTACCTAATTTAAACAGCATCCTGGATAAGGTCAGATACAAAGCAAGTTTTCTTTTCAAGGTCTATTTACATCTTTTGCCATCCAAGTTCCTCAGAAAATGAAATAATTTCAGCACAGGATGAGTTCTGAGAAAAAAAAAATCACCTAGCAAACTTGCCCAGCAATTTCCCTCTGTAAAAAAAATTTTTTTAAATTACAATAGTACGCTGAGGTGTTCATCCCTAAACACCGTTCAGCCCAAAGCTGCAGCACCTCACAGATTTTCTCGAGCCTAGAACTCAAACTGCAGAAGCAAACAGACACCCCTGTGCAACCACCTAGAGTTAGCTATAATACTGAGTCAAAAATGTATCCATATTTCCACTAAACACACAGTGGAAATCATGACGCTCATTTCACAATAGGATCTGCCTGGATTGTGATATTAACACAAGCTCAGGAAACGGCCTAATCTGGTGGATAAACAGAAGCCTTAAAGCTCAGAGGCTATCTCCTGAGACAGCACAGCACCCAGCCAGTGGGCCTCCCCCTAAGGCATCACTTACGGCTGCGAGTGCGCCGTCTCATAGCGCTCAAAGGCATGCGACAGATCGTGCTTGTTGTTCATGTAACACTGTGTGCACAGGTCATAGTCGAAGCACATCTTGCACTTCCAGCGCATCCCTCGTATGCCATGCTTCTTGCAGCAGTCACAGATGATGTTGGGATGACGGACGCCTAGCACACAAAAAGAAAGGAATGTAACTCGACATGAAGTTCACAGAAACCAGGCTGACAAGGCTGTTAGAACCATAGGAGCATGTTTTAAGGGGGGAAAAAAGCTCTGTATCTCACTGCTGCTCAACGTCAGTCCACAAACAGTGGCAAAAAGCTCACATGCCAGCTAGCACATGAGGCAAGTGACACACCTGCTACAGATGGCTTTACAGCACTAGAGTTTGTGCTCATTTCTGTGCCACACTTACCTATTTGTGCGTTATCATACAGAAGAAGGTCGTAAGCTCCTTGAAACCCAGTCCGATAGTTGGTTCTGTTGCCTTGATCCCACTGCACGACCACAGTCTTATCCGGGGTGGTGGGGCTGCCTGTCCGACCGATCTCAACCACAGTCCCAACGTTCCCTTCACCGCTGTCCTGGCTGCCCCACTTCCAGTCCACTCCACGAACTACCCGCATCCCAACCTGCATGCTGGCATAGGGGTCCAAGTCCATTGCTCTGCACAACAACCCTCAGAACTCCTTCATGGAAGGGGCCTTGGAGATGGACAGCATCAACAGCAATGCACCCAGCATCATCTGCTGCATTTTTAGCACACCTACAAAGACAACATAAAATTAAGTGACATCATCCAATGCATCACAGCAACAACTTTTGCACCAAGGCAAGCAGATGCTATTCCAGGTCTTACCCTTGGTACACAAACTCATTAGCAGTTCAATTAGTAGGCCTGGAGGTTTTCTAGATTCCACTTCCTAAATGCAAAGAACTCCAATCCCACCTTGAAGTATCCACCCCACCCTGCTGTAATCACCATCAAAAGAAACGCAGAGTAAAGAAATGACATTACTGAGATACATCTGACTACCTTCCATTTATATTAACTGCAGTTCAGCTGGGGATTTTAAAATGACAGCTGCATTTGGTGAGCAAATCAGAAGTCATGCTTCTTCATAGTATTAGGGTAAACTTAACACCAACCCTGCAAAAGTAATTCAATAAATAAATGCAAGAAATTCTCCCCCCCAGCCCCACAAATGACCCAGGCTCCAGAATAGGTCTGACCTGCTGAATAGAAAAATCTGCATTTTATTTTAACAGGCACCTTGCAGCTTTAACACACATGGGAAGGATGTGTAAACTAGCCAGACCATTCAGGCACAGAGTCATCTGTATAAAAAACCCAAAGATTCATTGCAGAGCACTGGGTGTGAGGGGTATGAGCCCCTGTGCTGCCACTTACCAGCACTACCTACAGCAGGAACAAGAGGGGGAGGCAGCAGATGTGCACTGCAGACAGGGATCAGTAGCAGCTCAGGACAGCCTTTCCTACTGTTGCCATGACAATCAGTAAATGAGGTGAACAGCAATCGGATGCAGAACATCCACAACTTTGAAGTCAATCAAATTGATTGTCAAAGCCCAGCTTATAGCTTCACAGATCTCTTTACTAGAAGAAAACAGAAGAATACAGCTTTCAAGATTGAAGGCTAGAGCTGCTGCTCAGACTTCTGGAACAATCTGCTCTAACAACCTTTTAGCTGGAGAGGGAGACCCAAAGACATGTGTAACATCCCCAATTTCCTGAAATATGAAAAAAAGCAAACGACAAAACCAAAACAACAGAAGCACAGAGTGCCAAGAGCCAAACTTTGCCACTTCCAAACATGCAGCCAATCTCAGCAAGTGCCACAGCACAGAGACAGCTCAGCCCGGGCTGACAAGCAGCTGATGAGCTGGTAGGACATGTACTCAGACGCAGCTGCAGCTCTGTGCCATGTGACATGCAGTTAACACTACCGCCTACCAATAAAGCAAGCGAAACCACTGAGGCCTAAAAATAAACTCTTCCTCCAGCCAAACATCCCCTTTTAAATGTATGGAGGAGTGATTTGATGCAAAAATCGAGTTTCTAACATGCAGAGAGCCTGATTTCTGTTCAGCCATAGCATCTCTCTAGCTTCAGGCTTTTTCTGCTGCACATCACTGTGACATCCCAACACCTCTCACGCAAGCAGCACCAAAAGCAGATGTCCTTGTGAACTTCGTGGCATCTTCAGTTCTAATCATTACAAACAGACGCCTCAGGCAGCACTTTCATCTCCAATCCCTTTGTGGAGGTGGATGCAATATTGCTGAGTTTGAAGCGCACCAGTATTCATCACTTTTATGAAGCTAAAGCCTCATGAGATTTGTACCATCTCTTCTTCCTTCAGACCTGAGATAAACAAAAAAGGTAAAAAAGACAAACATTTCCTATTTCATCCAAACGAGGGCTCCAACGGTATGTGGGAACAGCAGGCACAGAGCTCAGCAGTTGAGGGTGAAATCCTCCCCTTGGTGAACCCCAGGGGCCTGGGCAGCTCCTGCAGGAGCCAAGGTTTCATCCATAAATTTCATCCAGTCAGGGCCATAAAATACCATAAAATAACATAACCAGGAGAAAACACTCTGTCCTTTGCCTGACAAAACCAGGCACATCAGCACCGCCCAAAGCTCACTATCTGTTTGCTCAGTACCTCGTGTTTGCACTGTGCTCACGGAGCCACTGTGCCACACAGCCACAGACCCACTCTTCCCCATAACCTTTTACCATGCAATGTGTAAGAAAACTTAAGCTTTTGCATCCTCAGCACAATTAAGAGATGGGTAAAGAAGCTTATTTTAATTAGAAGCGGATCCAAGGAGTTTTACATCCTGCTTTGAGGCCCATAACAGCGCCCTGAGTTCTGTTCTCATAGAAGAGTGAAACAGCAGCAACAAAAACCACTAACCATGGGCTTGAGTTTATCAAATCGGCTTGCAGCAACTGGAAGTGAACTTGTGTCTCAGCTGTCTCCATGGCCTTTCACTCTCTGTGAAACAGAGCAGGCAGAAGGAGCCTCAGCAGCACAGTGAGTTCATGCTGATGAGACTGCTCCACTGAAAAGCATCAGAAAGAGTTGAAATGATGACAGGTGTAACAGAGCCATAACAATCAATAGCTGCAAGTGGCAGCAATCAGAGAAAAGATATGCAAACATTTACAGAGCACTGACAGGACAATGACCCTTTTGGGTCGGTGCTGATAAGGCCTTAACCAGCGGAACAAAAGTGTCCCAGCAAGATTCCAGCTGGGAGTTTTATTAGCAAGTGCTTGGTTTGTGTTTTGCTTTTTGGTCCTCAACTCATCTCTCTCAGGAAGAAAAGATGCTGTTCACACGACAGGCCTCAGTGGCTTGCAGTTATTTTTGTGATGACAAGACAAAAGTCACTTGCTTTATCCTTCGTCATCTCAGTGCAGACTGGGCAAACCTCATCAAACGTTTACAGACATGTAATACAGACAGCCTGGAACAGAGCACATCAACACTGCCTGCATCAGCAGCAATCCCAGGTAACTGTACTGCAGCACAAGCAAGTAACCAAAATGGTGCTGACCATTCTTCAGGAGACAACTCAACAACAGGGCTCCAGGAGATACACACTGTAACTTCAGTCGTTTCAGTGGGATTCTATGCAAGAACAGCAGCATGCAGGCCAGGCCCAGAAGGATCTATTCCCAACACAGTGGGAATGACCCTTTATGGCTTAGCAGGGCACACAGAGCACCTCACAGCTTTCATCCCCTCCCAGCTCCCAGGTGAGCCCAGCAGCCATCAGCCCCATTGCTGCAGCCGTGGCAGTGCCCCAGGTGTGCTGCACTGTGCAACGACTGCCCCGGCCCCCGGCTCCTCACCTCCCTGCTCTCCAGCTCCCATCTCTGGTCAGAGACTTTGGATTCTTCCAGGGTATTTCATTTGACACAACCTCAATTCACATCAGTTCGATACCCAGCTCTACCACTTGCAAGTCACTCTGTTTGGGTCTTCTCTTTTTACCTTCTGTGAAGTTCTGCTCTTACACAGTCTGTTCATACTGAGCCCCATATGGAAATATATGTTCTAATTCTCTCCCATTTCTTCAGAGCCACATTTACTATCTCAGTTCAGTCTCTTTGTTTCCAACCAGCTTCCATACTACTACTGACAGGGTCACATAAAACCCTAATAACCCACAAGTGTATCTCTGGTATAATGGCTAATACTAAATTGCAATACATTAGAAAGATGTTTTGCTTTCAGAATAGCTGTTACAATGCCTTATTAATTTACAAACACTGGGCTGTAACACTGCCTTATAACACAGCACCAGGCCCGCTTCTTGATGTGGAAAAGCACTCAGCCAGCCTCATTTCATTGTTTATTGTTTTCCAGATCTCATTCCACAGCTCACACTCACACAAAGAGCAGCACTGTCAGATCAGGTCTTGTTTATCCACTGAGACTGAAGGATGGGGCGGAGCTGCAAAGTTAGGCAAGCAGGAGTTGAACTGCCCTGTTTGCAGGAAGCACATTTTGCAGATCACAGAAAAAGTTCAGTAGATCAAAGCCAACCACTTCCAAGTCATGAAAAAAACATCAGTGATACCAGACTAAAGAAAAACAGGGATGGGTTCAATCCTGATAGCAACGCTTCTCTTTAAGTCAGCCATCTGATTCAGCTTAATTTTGCTATAAGCTGATCTTGGAACAACCATGCTCTAGCATAAATTGGTACCTAAGTAGAATTTCAATGGAACAGGCTGAAACTACACTCATCTTACCAGGAACCAACAGAAAGCACCAGGCATATTATTCCTGCACTGTAACAGAGTGGTTCTTCTACTTTTCAAGCCCTACTGGTAAGGGCAGTGAACAGATGGCCAAGACAGTGAGCACACTCCAATTGAAATACAGTTTGCAAAGGATTTGGCTTTGTTTATATCCTGGAGATGAAAGAAAGCTTAAGGCAACAGAGGCAACGCTGGAGGTGAAGGCAGTGAACGCTGCATCTCTCTTACCCAACACTGCTCTGTATGTTACTGAAGTGTAATGCAGCCCCACTTTGAGAAGGCAGTTTCCAAGTCCTGATCTTCAGTGGCTCAGACAAAGAGGGCAGAGAGAGCCAAGAAATATCACAGTGCCTGACCACAGCTCAGGAGACACAAGCTGCGAGCTGCCCCAGCACCACCAGATCTTCTGGATTAGAACCGTGGCACCATCTCAGCTGCTACATAGCAAATTTAACCAGCAGGAACTAGACCAAATTCATCAAATTCCTCCTTAGCCCACCAAAAGGGTTTGCAGAACTGGCTGAAGCACACAGTTTAATACCGCACTGCTAAGCCACAAGGCCTCGACAACACCTCATTTCACAGCTCACCACAGATCAGGATATTCTTCCTTGCGCTGACAGCATTGCTGTTTAATCCAAGTTTTGCAAAATGGCATCGCTGGCACAGAGCAGAAGAGAAGAGCAGATGATGCTTCCGTGGGTAAAGTATCACTATCAGCTAAATGAAGCCATCCTTACTGAAAGGCTATTCTCAGCAGAAAGAAAAATTAAAAATAGGGTAGCTGCTTTTTAAAACCTATCAACCATGAAAAAGCCTGAGTGAGGTCAAACCATTTCCATACCTCATGCCTCACCTGCTCCCAAAGTATATTTAACTGTATTACATAAACAGAACAAAGCAGGACATTAATATGCCTTTGCTCAAGGATTAACATCTTGTCATTTCAACTTCACTGTAATTGTTTTGTGGAAGAGCAAGCGTGCATCCTGAAATACTGGGACACATGGCGAGGAAACACTAAAAATAACTTGCTAGGCACTGTGCTTAAGGACAGTCCCACTGACTGCATTTCACCTCTGCAATCCACACTTGTCCTTTACAGACACCAGCCTGGTGATCCCTCTGTCTAATCTGAACTCTGCATTCAGTTCATACTGATTGTATTCTAGCTGTTATGGTGAGATGAGAACATTGCCTTTCCTTTCACTGCTGTAAGAGCAATGCTCTCTGTGGTCATCATGCCAATTTACTATTTATTCTTCCAGCCTGATAAAGGATACTGGCTTAAAAGCAGCAGCAGCTTTGTTAATGTTTTGCTCAATAACAGTAATTTTGTGCAAATCCTTCTAAGAAGCTTGACTCCTTGCCTTGAAAACCAAGCACTCATCTGCATCACCTCAATCCAAAAGGACCCAATTTCCTTAGTGCAAAATAATGAGTGAAAAAGTGACAGTGTGAGCTACACCACCTATCACTAGCAGCAGAAATACAGCAGTATTTTTAATGAATCAGCTCAATGTTGACTAACATACTACACTGATGGAATACAATTCATACTACACTGATGGAAACAAGAGTTGCAAGTAGGTCAATATTTACGTTAGCCCCTACAAATGAGAAAAGAATCTCCAGGAGACACCACAGGTCAACCAAAAATCAACAGCTGTCACTAGCTTCCCACAATAGGTGCTGCAGTGTACCACAGAGAGGTGGAAGACCTTCTGTCAAGTCAGGCGTGCCTCACATTCAGAGCTGTGTGTCACCATCAGCTAAATTCTACAAAACAATTTCTCTCCACTGAGCACAAAAACTTCAGGCTTCAAATTGGTAGGATCAGTGCTCATCTGCTCATTGGAGAATTAGGAGTGATTATAAGTGAAAGTTCACACTGGGCATCTAGTGCATCTCTTATTACATCCCATAAGATAATTGCTCATGAGCCTGATGAAATTTCCTTCTGGCTTTTGATGAACTGTGCTCTCTCCAGGAGGGAGAAAAACATATCAGCTCCAGCCACTTGCTTTAATTGGACCTGACAGCTTGCAGATTGCTGCCTAAAGCCTTGAAAAGCTCAGTAGCTGAGCAAAATCCGCTTTTTCCTCAATAGCATATTTCATAAAACCAAATACAACTCATCCAGGGAAACTGAAAAATCTCCGCTACTTACAGAACAAGCTCAACTCGTCTATTAGGAATGGCTCAGATGTAACCGTGCCTTGTAGCAAAGCATAGGCTCAGTCACCTCATGAAACTCCTTCCCAGCCCTATTTTCAACCACCTCAAAATGCAGAGCCACACAAAAACATATCCCAAAGTCCAGAAATGTTTCTTCCCATCTTGTTTGTGCTCTCACTCAGTCATTGGTCTGATATATTTCTCAGAGGCAAGAGTACCTGGCCCAGAGCTGGTGGTGCTGAGCAGTTAGGTTTGTATGTCCTTCACACCAGCTGTCAAATCCTATTTTACCATGAAAGCAAGGATTCAATAACTTAAAAATTCAGAGTCCTCTCATCTTCTTACACAACTGCCTCATCCGTCCAGAATGGCAGTTATTCTCCCTAAAAAGTCATTAACAACCAGAACACTGCCATTACTGCATGAGTAAGAATCAAGAGGAGGAGGAAGCACTGAGCTCAAGCTGATGGAGCTGAACAGTGGGCTGAGCAGTGACTTGGAGAAAACACATTGTTATGATTCTGTGATATAATTATTTGTAGGTTTTGTAGATTCAGGAGCCCTCAGTGGTGATTCAACAGGATCACAAACCACTTAAGAACAAAACTTCCTCCAACGTTTTAAAATGAAAAGAACCTTCCTGCATAGAGCAAGCTGCAGCATAAAGCCATCTGAACCTCTGCTGAGCCTTCATATCTCATCCTACCAACCTCCAGATTCCCCTTCAGGCTTTTAGAACAGTCAACATTGCACTCCTGCCATTTTCCAGCCTACAACTCGCCCTTTCTGTGCACTGGAAGCAGATCAAAAGGTTTAAGTCTAATCTATCCTGACATGCCTTTGGCTAGAGAGACATCAGCTGCGTAGGAGCAGAACGAATTGACTAGTAAGCTGTTACTTTCCTTCCTGGTACTCAATAAAGGTTTGCGGGTCAGTACATACACCAATTCCCTTACAATTCTGCACATTTTAAGAGCACAGATGTTATCTTTCAGCTCTGGATAGCTTTACAGATGGAAACTGGAGCCATGGTTATGGATGGATTTGGTGACAGTGCCAACAGAACATATATCCTCATTCTGTTCTCCAGAATCTGGCCCATATTAGTCACACAAGCAAAAAAAAATTAAAACAAATAAAGAAAAAAATAAGGAAGAATGTGGATCAAGGTCCAAGATCAAGCTATTTACTGTCCTGATAGCACAGATACAACTCCACTGCTGCTTCTTCCCACGTACAGCTGGTCTAAAGGCTAGGAGACTCACTCTCTATTCTGGGAAATTTCAAACAAAACTACAGCTCTCATTACGGAGGGAACAAAAACGTTTAAATTCCGTAAGTTTCCCAAGGAACAGAATCTGCCCACTTTTGAGCAGATTTTGCCTCTCCCCATTCCAGCCTTGGTTATTTACCAGTCTGAAGTACAAACACACACCCAGCCCCTGCTGCAGCAGAAGAGCTCTCCAGTGCTAATGGAGCAGTAATTTTGATAAGAATCAAAACAATAAAATAGGCAGAGCAGTTCCTTTACACTCCAAATATACAACAACAGGAGCTATGGGACTACAACGCGAGTCACCTGATATGCCATCTACTGCCATATTAATTGGCCACCTTCAGGAAGAACTTCATGAAGGGAAATGTCATTGGCCCAGCAGGAGTTATCTGCACTAGACACAAAAGCAGACAACTGTAACTCAGAGCACAAAGCAAATCCCATAAAGGCATGCAGCTCACTAGCTCTGCCAAGGCTACTGAAGCCTTTTTTTTTAGATTTCTGCAATCAATATGACACAGATGTGCATTATTTACAGTAAACGAGGCCCTCATTTAATTCTTAGTCAAGAAAGCAAATTCTAGAGTTGAGTGTCAGCAAGAAAATCAGACCAAATGCACACACTGCTTACAATACAGCTGAAGCATCTCCTTAAGTTTGTCCTCTGCTGTCACTGGTCTTCGTCAGTTCAGAAAAGATGACAAATATCATAGAAACATGCAGGGGGTAAAAAAAAAAAAAAAAAAAAAAAAAAGCCACATGTGCTTCAGTTCTGAGTTATATTCATAACACAGCATATGGCCCAGCGATAGAAAATGCCCAGCAGGAAACAGTTGCAACATTTCAGTCAGTTTTCTCTGTAGCAAGTGAGGACATGGCTGCAGTACCTGCTTCAGAGTAGGGAACAGCCACGTTCACAGCCTGGGACATTAATGGGGCAGCTAGCACTGGTCACCCAGAGGAAAAGCAGCAGAAAATCAGCAGGAGCAGGCAGAGCCATCCCACGACAGGCTCAGCCGTAGCTGAACGCAGCAGAAAGAAAAGCAGCCACTGAGAGCTGACCTACCCCCAACCCAGTGCAAGAAAAAGGAAAAAAATTAACGGGCACAAACCTGGCAGATAGGAGAGACAGCAAAATCCAGAGAGCCCTTCAGACAGCCGCTGTCCTTAATCGACGGCCGCGTTCGTGCCCTTCCCGCATTCATTCTCGGCGCAGGAGCTGGACGCCGACCCGCTCCGCCGGCCTGGGGAGAGAAGAAAACGGGAGCTCAGGCGGCAGCAGCACAGCCTGAGGGCAGCCTGGGACGGGCACCGACCCCGGCCCCACATCCGCGGCACCCGCTGCCGGTTCCCATTGGGCCGCAAGCCTCCCCGGCAGCCTGGCAGCCCCGCGGCGCTCTGTGCCCGCTCCCCGAGCCAGGCGCTCGCAGCCCCGGGCCCCGCACAGCCCCTCCGTCGCTCCTCAGGGCCGCGGCGCCGCCCAGGCCGCGAGGTAGCCGCACACCTCGCTGAGGTAACCCGAAACCCGGAGGCGGAGCGGCCGAGGGAACTCCCACGCGAGTCTGGCAGCTCCCTCGCGGCGCCCCTCTTACCGAGCCGAAGAGCCAGGCCGGCCCCGCGGGTGCTGCAGCGGTGGCTCTCTTCTACCCTGCTCCCCGGGGCCCCTAGCGCGCCCCGCCCAGGCCTCTCCCGCCGCGCTGACAGCCGCGGGGCACGCTGGGATATGTAGTTCTCCGAGAGCGCTGCTCCGCGACAGGGAGGCGCCGCTAACTACAAATCCCGTCAGGCAGCGCGCGCGGAGCCCCGCGGCATGGGCCGGGCCCGCCAAGCCTCGGGGTGCGCGCCAGCGCCTCGCCTGAGGTGAACTGCGCGGGGCGGGAACGCGCTTTGCTCTGTGGTGAGTGTCAGCGTTTGCTCCAAGCTGCGTTTATTTAAACGATTGAGCGTTAGATTTTAGGGCGAGTTAGCTCGCTTTAAGGGTGATGTGGGGACTCGGCGCCACCATTGGCGTGCTATTGGCTCTGCAGGTGCTCGGCTTTTCCTGCAAGATCACTGCAGGTGCTCTCGTGGATCTCCTGCTCCTGAAGCAGAAACGCTCTCTCACACTGACACTCGTCAGTTTGTTGATAACGGCGTGCACTCAGGAATAGAGCAGCATGACCATAAAGCACCATTCCTTTTCCTGCTCACCCGTGAATGCTACCCAGAGCCCTGCAGCTCCAAAGGACTCTGCACAACAGGCACTGCTTACAACTTATAAAGACCAAAAAGACCAAAAATCTGAGGGAAAATCCACAGCATCCCAGCTGCTGCCATTATAAAGACCTGCCCAAAGCCAAACTTCTCATGAACGATTTTCCAATCGTGTTGCAGGGAATCTCTTTTTGCCCACTGGATGTCGCTGTTACACAGAAAGAGTCGCAGGCTGCAGGCTTCTGCCCCAGGCACCTCACCTTACAGGCATGCAGGGCCAGCCAAGCTGCATGGATTCAGCCCTGTTAACGAGCCTTTATTAGGATATAACTCCACGTTTTGCAGCTCGCTGACGTGCATGTGAGCCTGTGATGTGAGTCTTGGGCCATGCCTTGCCCACACGATGGCAATTCCAGCAGCAGAAATCTAGAGATGTTTTCTGAAGATGATTGAACAGGATTTTGGAACAAAATATACGCTGCTGGGGGGAAAACAGGCTGTGCAAGATGTGTCTTCAGGTCATATATAGGACGCTTTCCTCAGCAGCCATGTTCTGCCTATTTTGCATGCTTAATATCTGAATTTGCATGCAGAAAGACTGGCTCAGAATTATCTCCTTAAAAGCAAAGCCTGGAAATGGCACCTTTCCCTGATTCATGTATTACAAATCTGTGCTGAGGTTATGATTACGCCTTGTCGTTATGCCTTCAGAGGCAATGACCTGGATAGAACAAAAAAGATATGTGAGGCTTCCACTCTTTAGTGAGAACTGCAGTATTTCAAACTCAGCTGAGTCTCAGAACAAGCCATAAACTGACCTACATCCAACACTCAGCTTTGGGAATTAACTCTGAGGAAGTCCAATTCCACATCTAGGTCTCTCCTCTGAAGCAAATGGAAGCACAGCCTAATAGAATCCACACCCAAGGGGAATCCCTCTTTGTTCCTTGCCAGCAACTTTTAGCACTAAAAAACAGCAATCCTGATTTCTTTAAACCGCATTTCTTACTGGAGAAAGTATGACTTCAGGTCAATACAGATTTCAGGGTTTGAATCTTTGAGATTCTAAGAACGGAATGATTTCCTTTAATCCTGAGCCTTGGCCTTTTGGGAACTAGTCTAAACAACAGGAGATTTAAAATAAACCAAGAGTCTTTTCAAAGCTAATAGGTGTATATGTTAAAAGGCCTGTGTCTATCCTGGGATGCCATCTGTATCCAATAAACCTAAAGGCAAATAAGGCAACTGATAAATAACAGGCAAAGCACGAGTCCAGCTCTGTGTGACATGCAGGGGTGTAAATCTGATAACTCTTGAATTTGGTGGAGATTTTCCAGCTTTAAAATAGTGTAATTAACAGTAATGTAGTATAATTGGCCTCTGACCATTAAATAAATTATTCAGGCAAGTAAGACCAAGGCAGTGATATTGTTTTTAACATTTTGCAGTGGGTATTTGAAAAAGTGATTGGAAGGGTTCCCAGCACATTGTGGAACTTGTCTGCATTCGTTTGTTTAAAAAGAATGTCTAGGGAAGGTGAAAGCCGCCTCTTTGGTTCAGAAGAGGACATGCTTACTTTGATTCATACATTAAATATTAGTGCTGTGTGTGTTGGACCGTTCTACCCATAAATAAGGAGCAATACCACCAAAAATTGGGAACAGCACTGCTAGTTTCTGTTGACAACATGAGGACTCATCTGTGCCAGATTCTGTCTTGCTATTACATGGTCATTTTCACAAATACAAATGAAGTGCAAAATAGTACCAAGGAGCACGTAGCGTTCTAATCCCATATAGGCTGAAAGACGATGGAAGGAATGTATCTTCGTTCTTTTGCTATGAACTGATGGACATGACAGGGTCCTTAAGAAAGTTAGCCCTTTCCCTGACTTCCACGCCACCCATTTCAGCAGATGCACACCTAGAAGCAAGAGGGAAAGCTGCATGATAAAAACAGGCAAATGGTCATTCAGTTACTTAATCTAGCCTTAAAGTTGGAGGATTCCAAAATCAGAAATGTCTTCTCTTTTTAACATTTATTTGTCACACTGGATGAATGTGGCATATGGAATTCTGCAATGGAAGTCTGTCCATGCTGCTATAATTAGCTAGCAATGGTGACAGCAGGCAGCTTTGCCTCCTTATTATCTTAAGATTCTCAGTGCTGTATTATGCCATGAATTTCTACCACATCAGAATGCTAATGCATGAGAAAGCTTGTGAGTGCAGCATCCTGCAGCATCAACATAGCCTTCAATATCCCAAAGTGATCCCAAGTGTGACTGCAGTGAAGTCAGTGGGATTACATCAGCGATTAATCAAGATTTTGCCTTCTTTTCTCAGCCACAGAGTAGAGAAGGAAGCTAATCTTCCATTTTTCCTGCTTCTGCAATTACTTGAGCAACTTACTCGTGTACCTGTGATCAAGTTCTGCATGGCTGTAGATGAATATTTGGCACTGAATCTCCCTGCAAGGAGAACAAGGTTTTTATGCTTGTCTGGCTGTACTTAGTATGCTGTGTACACAGTCCTTGTATGAAATAGGCAGATTTGCAGCAGGAGATTTAAACCCTTTCGGAAAATTCTGTCACTTTTTAAAAGTAAACACGTGAAAAGCAAGCACACCCTTTCAATCCTTAACAAAAGCAGGCAGCCCATTGCAGGTCCAGGTTTAGAGATCACTGCAGACATTAGCTTTGCTCATCTGCAAACCAAGCCATGAAATCCTATTGCTGGTGCAGACACTGGGGAACTTGTCAGAAGGGACACTACATCTTTGCTACAGGAGCATCTGAGCAGGCAGATGAACAAGGAGCGAGGAAAGATGGGAGCAAACTGGAAGCTTTCAGAGGTAAAAAGCTTGAGTATCATCCTAACTGTCCAATGCTGTGTTCCTTGGGGCACTCAGCAGTGCTCTTTTGAACCCACCATTAACAGCCCTTCTTCATCTCGAGAAGAGGGCCTTGAACTTGTATGCACCAAAGGGGTTTTTCCCTTTTCTAAATCGTACAAACAGAGCTTGTTTGGGGTTTTTCCCTTTTCTAAATCATACAAACAGAGCTTGGAGAGCTGCTTTCCATGAGGTTTGTTACTTGGTGTTACGTAAGAATGAGAGCTTATGTGATTATAATTGCTTCTTGAGGTTGGGCTTGCAGGCAGTGCTGGCTAGAACATGCATTTTCGTGCGAGAGCCGAGTGCCTGCATGCCAAATGGGCTGTTTGTGTGTACAGCCACAGGATCTATGAGACTAACAGGCACTTGTGCAGATTTTATCTCCAAATATGGCCTCTGTTATTAGTGCAGGGAAGAAACAGGCAATAGTACTTTGATTCCTTTATGCTGTTCAGACAAGTAGAGCTGGAAATGCAGGCAGGTAGCAGTCCTGATATCTAGAGGTCTTTCTGTAACTGATTGATTGTTGGCTGTGGAACTCTTCCATACACTAAACCAGAGTTGAGGTGTGAATGACCGTGGCCTCGAGGAGCTTATCCCCAAGCAGGCTTGGTAACAAAGATAGCTGGGCCAGCATGCCATACTGAGGCAAAAAGTGTGAAAAATACATTATGAGAAATGGCCCCATTGGTTCCCTATGGAACAATCTAATGGATTCAAATTAGAAGCTGTCACTTCTTGTTACAGGAAGGAAGGAATGGTTCAGCTTTCCCACCCTTGACTGTTGGAGAGGCTGAGATGAAGGCTGCTCCTGAGAGCAGTTTAATTTAAGGCTCTCATTTGCTAAATGTTTGTACCCCTCATTTCCTATACTGGACACCTGTTCATCCTATGCCCTCCAATATTTGAGCACTGATACTTTGAGTGTGTCTACCTGGATGTCAATTGCAAGTCCCATAAAGGAGTTTGGTTATAGTTAGAGTTGCTTAGTTGCATAAAAAGGGTTGTGGATGTTGCCAGTTTGACAGGTAGGTTTATAAATACAGCTGTGAAACTGCTGTCCCTAAACAATAAAGCCTCCCCCCTGTATCCTCCTAGCACAAAGGTACATTTCTTACAGGCATTTTTTTCCAGACAATTCTTGGCAGCATTTACATAACCTGGTTGAAAACATTCCTGCAGCCAATTAGATGCCTGATCTGAAATCCAAAGCTCTGATTAAAGTGATGGACCTTTCCAGGACTGTAATATCTGTACAGATGGTTAATATGCATGCCTTGCTCTCCAGGGGAAAAAAGTGGCTTGTGTTTTTTTTTTACAAGTACCTACAGTCTGAGCTTTCCAATGGGAAGTGCTGTTTCGTTCAGATTATTATTTGAAAGCCATCATCAGATTAGAGGAGGCAAAGGGAGATGATCAGATAATCCCTGAGGCACAAAAGGTTTTGATACAGATTTCAAGAGCGCTGTCACCTGTGGTCAGTTTTCACAGCTCAGGGTGCTTCTCCTCTGCACTTTCATGGAACACTCAGGCTCAGTAGCTGTGCACCTCAAGAAATGTGGGGTGTTGTAGCAGTCTGTGAAAGGAAGGAGCTTCTGAGCTGGCTTCTCAAATGATGGGTGACCTACTGGTAAACCCTGATCTCGTTGGGTTTGTTTAGCTTTCCTTGAAAATTAGAAAACATCCTAGAGGAACAGAGAACAGCTACTGCTGCTGTGGGCCCTGAGACCTCTCTATACATAATGTGGAAGAACAGGACCAAAAGGAAGGATTTCTGGCTGCTGGGGATATAGGTTCTATTTACAGTCTGCTGGAACTCCAATAGCAGGCTGCACAGCTCAAACAGCACAAACACTGACAGAGCACGAGTGAGAAGCAAACCCTTTCGCTCTCTGTTGGGCTGCAGTTTCCCTGGCTCTGTATCTGGTGCAAAAATACAGAACTAAAACTGTAACTGAGTTTCTTACAATGGTAGAGTAGTTAAAAGTGATAGATTGGAGTGACTTAATCAGTGGAAGTGATTGGCATTCCCTAATTCAGGATTTTAACCTTTTCCAGAGTCCTCTTTGTCAAAACCTCAGGAATCCCCAGCATTTCTCAGGCAGGAACCAGCACATGAGGAAGTAATTAATGAGAGCAGGGAAGGAAAAGAAAAAAAAAAAGAATGTGCTGAATAGATGCAAAGCTGAGACTCAAATCCCTCTTTCCCCAGGCTGCCTTCTCAGTCCTCAAGATGCAGACAAAAGACATTCCAGCTCCTGACAAACAGCCTGGGGAGATGCTGAAGCATCCATCAGCCCCACGGGACATTCCTGATTTCTGCAGAGGAGCATTTGGACTGAAGGCTGGCTGATGCACAGGGGCTGTGCAGTGTAGGTGGATACCTGAACCAGCAGCAAGGTTATCCCTGGTCCCACGTGAAATGATCTGGCAGGCATAGGTTGAGTGAGCATCACGTTAGAGGGGTTCTGCTTTTCAGAAAGGCCTGAGCACTAAATTTCAGCTATTTTGTGTTTGAGTGTTTCAATACAGAATACTCAGTTAATTCCCTTTGTAAAAAGTGTGTCTTATCCTGGAAGCTGTGCACAAGTGAGGACGGTTCTCCAAATCTCCCACTTTCCTGTAGGCTGTTTCGCCCTCGTGCTGCCATTCACCTCAAAAGATGTATCAATTCCATTGAAAGTGCTCGTGTATGGGAACTGCTGCATCACAGCCTGAAGCTCTGATTGATCACCTGAGGTGAGCCATGAGCCAGCCAGAGGAGCACAGGTGAAGGCAATTCACCTGTCCTAGACCTATTTAAGAGCTGGCTACCAGTGGGGAAGGATCTCACCTGGAGATCCTTTCTTCTGGTTCTTTCTGTAGGTGAGCCTAGCATACAGGTAAACCTTCCATTTATTCTCCTTATTATCATAGTCTACTTCGCCTAACTCTCATTTATTTTGTGATTATAACATCTTAATATCCATTGATTATACAGTTTGTAAAGAGTAACTTCAAAAACATAGCTGTTTTGGGTAAATCATAACCTTACAGGATGCTGTGCCTCTGTATCCCCATCTGCAGATTATGGAGACATTCTGCTATTTCCCAGCAGTACCACAAAGCTCCTTTGATTAACATTTGTAAAACTGTTCCTGACTCTTAGATGGGAATTGCTGCTGAAGCATTAATTGTTATGATTTTTGCTTATTCTCCAGATGCCTGAAACATAGAACTTGGCAGAAATCCAGAGGAAGCATCCTTCTGAGCTCAGATAAGGGACAAGCTAACCTGGCAGCTGGGCTGCTGGTGCAGGCAAGATTCATTACAAACCTGGGGGCTGTGCTGAGCTCAGCACACAGCTGTGTTGTGCAGGAGGGTTGTTCTCTCCTGCCCCTGTCCAGCTGAGCATTGTCACCTGCCTAGGTAAAACAGGTTGGATTCTGCCAGAAGGAAGCAGCCCATGTAGAATCATAGAACCAGTTGAGTTGGAAGGGACATTTAAAGGTCATCTAGTCCATCTTCCATGCAATGAGCAGGGACACATAGTGCTAGATCAGGGTGCCCAGAGCCCCGGCCAGCCTACCCTTAAAAACCTTAAGGTTTCAAGGCTGTTTCCCTTGTTAACTAATGCCAGTGTCCCTCCTGATAGCAACAAGTGCCCACCACGTAGGCTTTGGGCCCCTCAGCTTGTTTATAAAGGGGAGGGGAAAGCAAACACGTGGGAGAAGTTGGTTTGAGTTGTGCCCGGGTGGGAGCAGGGATGTCTGCTTTACTGCTCGCAGTGGGCTCGGCAGGCAGCCGGGAGAGGTCGGAGGGGCCGAGGGCTCCGTGCCGGCTTTGGGGGCAGCGGGGGCACTCTCCCAGCCCCGGGACTTTCTCCTAGCCTCGGGACCTCCGCTTCCTCCCGGCAGCCGCAGGCGGGGAGGGAAGCAGAGGGGAGGGAGCAGCAGCGCTCCTCATCCCACGGCTTATTTTTTCCGGTCCGTGCTGGAGAGGGGGAGGTGGGACAGCCCTCCCCTCCTCCTTCTGCAGCACATGGGAAGCAAAAGTTTCTCTGCTGCTGCTTCTCCTCCTCCTGGTCCCCCTCTGCCGGGTCCCCCCGGTCCGGACCCCGCCGAGGTTCGCTGCTGAAGGATGCGGCGCGGCTCGAACGGCGTTGGGCTGCGCTGCGCTCCGCTGGGCGATGAGGAGTAAACCGCTTTTGGAGCATCTTCCGCTTCTCCGAGGGCTGGGGAGGAGTGAAGGCGAGACTTGGATCGAATCTTGCAGAGAGTAACCTGAGGGATCTGTGGATTTCTGGAGCGAAGGAGCTGTTTGAGGGAGAAAAAAGAATCAGATGCTTTAGCAGCGCCAGGGAGGCAGCGCTGCGTCGCTTTGCTTCAGCCCCACTATGGGCACGGGCATGTGTTCGAGGAGGCAGAAGGGGCTCCTGCAGACCGGGTTTTGCCTGCTGGCCGTGGCGTGCCTGGGCTCGGGAGCTTTCCTGTACCACCACTTGCAGCAGAAGGTGAGGAGTGCCGAAGCCCTTGCTCAGAAATACAAACAGCAGCAGGAAGCACTGTCTGCCCAGCTCCAAGGTGAGTGAGCGGCTGCGTGCGCCTGCTGAGCTTCCTTTGCTCCAGCACAGCCCAGCGATGAGTGGGGGGCCTTCGTGGAGTGAGGTTCGTCTTTTGGCTTTGAAGAGCTCTAAGACAATGCTTTCCCCTGTTTCTTCTCCCCCCCCCCACCCCAGCTTTGCATCCTGGAGGTAAACGGCCTCGAGGCTGAATTGCTGCAACAGCAGTAATGGGAACAGCATTTTACTGGAGTGGGGTGTGCAGCATCACACCCGCTTGCTTCTCTTTATAGTTCTCTTTGACCATAAAGGATAACCCTGCATCATTCTAAATGCAGAGCAGAAAAAATGCAAACAGGACCTGTGTAGGCAGGCTGTGAATCCTGACTGCTCTCTGGACCCTGAAAGTGAATGAAGAGGCAAAAGGGGTCCATCAGTAGAGGTTGTCATCATATCGTCTCGTCTGTTTCCTTTGGAAGGAAACAGACCCATTGCCATCTTCTCTAGAGATTGGTCTGTGGTTCTTGTCAGTCTGTTTGGGGCTGATTGGATGCTTGAATAAAGAAAAAAATCCACAGAAAACAGGGAAGGTGGTGAATGGGCTTTTCCAAGCTCCCTTACCAGGTTCAGGCTGGTGAGCAGTGAGGGCAGGAAAACTCAATCCTCTGATGAGAGCTGCTGGAAAGCAAGCATGTTGTATATATTCCCATCGGTCTGCCTTGCTTACAGAGCTGTCTGCCTGTGGGAGAATGATGCTGTAGCTGTGGAGATGTTCCGGTAGGGAAGGCTGAGGATGAGTTATGCTGTTCCACTGCTGAACTCTTTTCTTCTGCAGGTCTGCATGCTCGATTCTTCCTGCCCATGCTAGAGCGACACTGCCAGCACCTCTTGCTGGGCTTGGGCTCTGGAGAGAGCTTTGCTGAACTCACTGCAGAGGGGCTGGGTAAAAATCCACTCCTTGGTAGCCAGTGGTTGTGTGTAGTGCAGGAGGATGGCTGTTGTGGAGTGCCCACAGCACAGCTCTTATGTGGATGCGATGCTGCTGGCATGTGGTGCCTGTGCCCTGAGGTCAGGGACTCATTTAGGGCTTTTTTCTCAGAGTGAGCAGGATTAGATTATGGCATTTAAATCCAGAGCTCTTCCTGGGACTAAAATCAAATGCAGGGTATCTGTTATGGCCTCTGTTCACACACAGAGTGACATTGTTTCTATCAGCTGCATGGTTGGAAATACCCCAGATTTGTGGCTCAAGATACGTGGGCTTTGGGTTAAGCCTCTTCAGGTGGTTTTGTGTGCAGAGTCGTGATGCAAAATGAGCGCTGAACATAAGCTTTCTGGGCTCAGGGCTGTGCATTTCTACCTGTGAATTCAGGAAGGAAGATGTGATGTGTGCTGGTGTTATTTTGGATTTGTTGGATTTTTCCAAAAGTATGTTTCCTTGGGAGACAATGTTGTGAATCAATCTAGCAAGTACATGGGTTTACTGCAATTATCTTACATTTCTTCTTGCTCTGCCATGAAGCATTCAGACACCTGCAGCTCTGGATGCGCTGCACAGCCCCTGCAGTCTCCTCCTGCATCCCGTGTTTGAGATGCAGACACCAGCAGGGCAGGAGCTGGCCCACATTCCTTTCTGGTACGTCAGCATCTCTCGCTTGCCCTGGAGAGGGGCTGGCTCCTTAAGGAGCAAACTGACAGCAGCACCCTCAGGGAACCCCATTTCTGTTGGCTGCAGCCAACTGCTGAGACAGGCTCATAGTATTTTTCCTCTCAAAATATGTTTGAATAGCAGTGCTGTCGCCTGTTGCTGGGGTTTCTAACCCTCTGCAAGTCCTCCGATTCCTAAATACAGTTGTTGCCATGGATACACTTTGTATTTTCAGAAGCCACTTGTCCAACAATTTTAAGAGTCAAAAATTCTTTTTTTTATGATGTGGGAGAGGTGCTTGGCAGGTAGGAGCACACTGCATGCCTGGCTGTGGCTGGGAGCTGGCTGCCTGTGCCCGGGGGGCTCTTGTGCCCCACGCTGCCTTGGTGCATGGCTTCAACTGTCTTCTGCATCTGATTCATCTTTCCAGCTCTGCTAAAGGAAGATGTGTTGTTATGAGGTGGATTTTGGTGCTGTTTATTTATTGTATTTACTATTATTCATACACCTGAGTGCAGTTAATGCTTCTGCCTCTGTAAATAAAGCTGGAAAGGGCATGGGTTGGGCTGATGGCGGCCTAAAGTGAAAAGAAGTGAGTGGAAGAGGGAGCAGAGCTGAATATCTGGATCTGTCTTGAACCAGCCATGCCTGTCCCACACACAGCATGGGGAATGGGCCTTATCTTCTCCTGCTCAGAATAAGAGCAAAGCTACTGATCTTGCTGTAGTGTAAAACACAGCATGCAAAAAGAAACCTCCTCCCTTCTCAGTGTAGTCCAGATGGCAACAAGGAGCAATCTGCTGGGCTTTTCTGTCCCTGTATCACCGGTGTTCCTGCTGGGTGAGGGTGAGGATGTGTCTGAGGCCACGTGGAGGCTGCTTACCAGGTCCTGGGCACTGCTGGAAGTGCTGGGACATGGAGAACTCTGTGCTCTGGGTGATTCTGGAGTTCAGAATCACCCAGAGTTGTCGGCTGTGATGTGATGGGATGGAGGCTAGCAGGAGTATTCAGTGCCTATAGCAAGGAGAGTAACTGAGAAGAGAGCTTTCTTTAGGTGATTAGCTGGAACTGCCTGTGAAGCTGGAATCACTCTCCTCCTGTCATGGGTGTCCTAAACTCTCCCTGGCAGATGTTTATCTCAGCACAGCTGAGATAACAACAACCCCTTCACAGAGTCACCCAGCACTCTGAGATCTCGTAAAATGAGAACATGTCTGTGGAAGGCCTGGCCTGTTCTCCTTTCCCAAAGGCAGGACGCTGTGTGGGATTTCATTGTTTCAGCAGTTCAAGTTCTGCATTTTTAGCTCATTTGTCAGCAGGTGACAGTGCTTTAGTGCTGAGTTCTGGCTGGATTCCAGCCTAGTTTTAGGCACCAATCACCCTCCATTCCCTCTTATGATTGCAAATTGTTAAAGACTTCCTGGCTTCCTGTCTGCTGAAGCTATAAGTGCCATTTTGGCGTGCTGAGCTGTTGCTGGGTCCCACTACAGAGGTGAGCAGGAAGACAGCTTTATGCAGCAGCTGCTGAGCTCTGCAAAGCTCAGCCCAACTTCTCTGGTTTGTGCAGACCTGGTGATATAGTGGGGGAGATGACAGCTCCTTTTCTGCTCCTTGGAAATTATCTCAGGGGCAACTGCTTGGGTGTGATGGCCTGTCTGGGGGATGGCTCCTCACTCTGGGGTTGAACTGAGCTTGTCTCACCATGAGCCCAAGCTGGCAAGCCTGAAAAAAAAGTCCTCGTCCCTGCAGTATCTAAAAGAAGTGTATTCCAGGAAGAGCCAGCTGGTCTGTCTTGTACTGCTGATGCTTGATTTCAGTCCAGGAAAAGTCACCATCTGGAAGTACTGAGGTTGCTCCATGGGGGACAGTAGGATGCTGAGGTATTTGGATTCAGCTTGTGCTTTGAAACTGGGCCCTCAGTGTGTCAGCTGCTGCCCTACCTGGCTGAGTTTTGCCTCCAGGTGGCTTGGGAAAGAACTAAACTACTGAATTATCATCACCAACATCATTAGGTCTCAACCCCTTATTATTCCTGGCTTGAATTATCCCTCTTCCCTTTCCCTAATTTGCTCAAGCTCTCAATTGTTGCTGGAGATGACTGTAAATAGCAACGGATCTGTTGCTGGTAAACCAGAGTGTTGCAAAGATCCCAATCTTGGACCCAGCCAGTGTCATGATTTAGCTTAAAAGTCATTGAGTTAAACCAGCTGGGGTTTCTCTTTCTGGGCACAAGAGGCACTTCCAGCTGGGAAGGAAAGCATCATTCATTGTGAGTCTCTTTAGTAAAGCCACCAGACTTGGATCTCTTGTGACCCAACAGAACACTCAGAACAGCAGCTCCCCAAAGTTCTTGAAGGAAGTGATGTGGGAGCACAGGCTGTGAGAGAGGCAAGTCTGTGCAAGGTATTGGAGAGTGTTTCTTTCCACCACTTCATTCAATGCAGTGTTGGATTTGTGTGCCTGGCGCTCCTGTCGCTGCGCTGTGATCAGTCTCTGCTCTCTCCTTGCTCTGCCTGCAGGTTTGCTGAAGGCTTGGCAGTTATTTAAAGTGAGAAACAGCCAACTCACTCTGACATCTGGGTTTTGCTTTGCTTGCAGGGAGTCTGAAGGCTAAAACCCACACATGGTTATGAGACGTGACTGGTGCTGGGCTGCCATTTATCAGTGAATAGCTGTGAACTTCATAGTTGCTTGTTTGCAGAAGTGGAAGCTGAGGAGATGGGTGGCTAGAATTCCTTTCCTGGAGAGAAAAGATTGATGTGGCAACAAGATGCTTTTCTTTGGGTGGTTTTTGTTTTCCTTCAGGGTCTGCAGAGGTGTGAGACCTGCAGGTGGTAAGGTAGGGAGGACTATTCTGATCTAAGTTTGATCCTCAGCCTTGCAATTCCTGGTTGAGCTGTAGTATTATTTATGAAAGTGTCCTGGCCTGACTTCTAGGATGTGTGATGATATCAATCCCATTGGTTCATTTTCCTGGACACTGCAGCACCCATGGTGTGATCTGTCCCAGTGTCCTTGGCTTTGGAGGTGAGGTTTTACTGCCCCGGTGTCTGAATTGCTTGGAGCCCCACGCTGTTATGTGGCAGTCTCTGCACAGAGGGGATGGAGCAGCTTCTGGTTGCAGCTGAGTGCTGTGGCTCAAGGGTTGCTCTTTGTTACCATTCAGACATCAGAGTGCATTAAAATCATCATCCATCAGGAGGTTTCTCTGGCACTTCCATTTGTCATGTGGCCAATGCACAAAGCAGTCTCGTACTTCTATCTTCTCGCTCCTCTGTGCGGAGCACAGATGCTCTTTTGTATCTAATGGGAGAGAGAGCTGCTGGCACACTCTTCCTTCATGTCCTTGAGGGCCAGTTAATGGTTGCGATGGAGAAAGAGAGAAAACATCTCTCTTGCATGCTGCTGGTGTGGAGCAGAAAGCTTGGCAGTCTCTGGTTATCTAAGTCCTAGTACTGGACTTGGCCCATAAACATGTAGTTCAGCCACTGGCCACTACATCCAGCTCACAGCTTGCATTCCTAAGTGAAACCTGAGTGCAGAGACAGGAAGAGCTGTGAAGCCCATTGGAAGCAAAAGAGGCCTGTTGCTCATGTCTAATTGATTGGGCACTTGCTGGCCTGATCTGTGGGAGGACTTGAGGTCCAGGTGTGCCCCTGTGTGCATGACCTGCAGAATAATGTCTGGGAAGAAACGTCAGGGTTTAGCTCATGCTCTGCCTGTTTCTGCTTCCCCAGTTGTGTATGAGCACAGATCCCGACTGGAGCGATCCCTGCAGAAGGAGCGAGGGGAGCACAAGAAGACAAAGGAAGGTAAGTTGGCAGAGTGGTGGAGCAGCAGCCAGCCGACCTTCCAGCTGTGGGCAGATGCACGTGTGGCATCCAGAGGCCTTCAGCACAGTGTGTGTATGTTACTCAACACTCACCAGGCAGTAGTGAGCTGACTTGTCTATTGCCTGTGAGCTGGGGGGTGGGTTCTGTTCTCTCATATCCCTGCCTATATTCTCAGTCTAATCTGTGAGTGATGGCACCCACGATGTGGTGTCTGAGCACTCTAGAAGAGATGGCTATATCTGGTATTAGACTGCTTTTTTCTTGGAAATAGTAAACTTCTTAAAAGTGATCAGAAGATGCTGAGCTCTACAAGGACTTGTTAACAATGTTGGCATCCCTGCACATGGTGGTATGTGGACACTACGGACTGATGCATCTTCTAAAGCTGATGTACAAGATTAAACGTTCACAGGCAAGTTCTTGTAAATCCCTGCTCATTTAATTGTCTTCTCTTCCATTTCCAGATTTTTTAGTGTACAAATTAGAAGCTCAGGAAGCTCTCAACAAGGAGAAGGTAGGTACAGTTTATTCCTCAGGGCATGCATGTGTATTTGCATGGACACGTGAAAGAATGTTTTTTAGTACTACCATGCTTATAAGGCTGGGGCTGCTGTCTTGAAGATGACATGACAAGTGCAAGAAAAACTTGGGCCGACTTTATTTTGCAAGGTTGTTGGTGTTGGAAGATCTCTTTCACCTTCGGGAGAGACTGTTGTGCCAGAGCTATTGTGCTTATTCTCTTGTGTGATAGCACAGTGGAAGGCTTGATTGTCAGCTGTTGGTGTGGCAGGGAGTCCTGTGCTGCAGGCAATAAGAGTTCTTCTGAAGAGAATTTCAAGGTACAGAAGAGTCCTGGGGGAGCTGAATTCAATATATACTGCAGGGAGCATGGAGAACAAAGGCCATGAGCAAACCTATCCATTTTCTTTTCCTGGGCTAGGCAAATGATTTCTGCTGGCCTGAGAGTGGCAAAGTTGACAGGAAAACGTTGAAATGGAGAGTGTTCAGGATGTGCAGTGTACTCAGTACTGTTCATACTCGGCTGAGCTTTTGGCTTTACTGAGAGCTAATGGCACTATTGACTCTTATTTATTTTTCCCTAGCAAGACTCTATGAACAGATATGGGGCCCTCAGTTCCCAGCACAAGATCCTGAAGGTAAGATTTTGGTCTGGTTCCAATGCTCACTGTGTGCTGCAAGTTAGAAAGTGCCCTGGAAGGCAGGTGTGGGCTGTTCCTTACCACAGATGCCTGGGACAGACCATGGGCTTACTGCAGCTAGTGCCAGCCCAGAGGGAGGAGGCCACACTGTGGTGTTGATTCACGTTCCTTCCTGCTTATTCAGGTTGATGGGAGTTCTCTTATTTGTTCTGTTGGACTTTGCATCAGATTACAGCCTTGGTGTACACTTATTTCAATGGCAGTCTTTGTGCAGCTTATCATGCAGGAGTTTTGTTCAGGATGTTCTTTTCTGTGTTCCTTACCATGAAAATGGGCCTCTTTGCTGCAGCTTGCCTCATTAGGATAGGAGGATATTTGAGCAACATAAGCAGCTCAGGTAGGAATGGCTCATAGTGTTTTTTATCTTATCGTGTGCTCTACCTGAACTGTATCATAACATTAAAGTTGGGTTTTGTTAGCACACTGCAACTGTGGTCTCTCGTTGCTGGTGACTTTCTTAATGTCTAAAGTTGGAGTGTTCCCAGCCCAATGGTGACTTAGTGCTGGGGCTCAGAGAGCAGGCTGACTTCCAGCAGCATTGTGCACCACTGAACAGAGCTGGACGCCCAGCTGCCTGCCTTTGGATCCCAGCCCTGGGAGGAGGGAAGTACAGCTCTCCCGGGCATTATCCAGCTCTGCAGACTCTGGGAACACTTCAGTCATTTTTTTTGTCCTCATAGCAACTACAACATGAGCAGCGTGGTCCAGCTTGCTTTTCTCACGGGGACAGTGAGAGCACTTCATCCTGGCTCCCTTTCTCTTGCTTCCTCTTATTGGAATAAATTTTTCATCTATTTTGTGTAACTGCATTTACAGCTGCTGAAAGAAAGATGGGCCCTTGGGACTGAGGTCTGGTGGATTGCAGCTTCTCCCCTGGAAATGCTGCATACAGCTCAGCTTGTAGCTAGCTATGGAGCTGTGAATAATATTTGTTTTTGGAGTATAGGTGAAAAATGCTTCCCACACGGATTATCCTCTTCACAAGGAATAGTGCTGCCAACTCGATCATTATTGAGGAAGCAAAAATGGATGATTGAGGACATTTAGCATTGAATAGAAGCATCTAGCCCTGTTAAGGTGAATGTCCCAGATATGACTAAAGACTTCCATGGAGCCGCATCGGTATATCTGGCTTTTGTGTTTGTGGCCACGTGTGTGCTGTACGTGGAGGTTTGCCTCCACAGATAGCTCTGTGTTAGATAGCTCTAACACAGATAGCTCTCCAGTTGCCTTCTGCTGCTTAGAGAAAAAGGATCACGTTTTCTTGACTCCTGAGCTGTCATTCTGATCTGTAGTGAAGGTACCTGTGTCTGATTAACGTCTGCAACAGGCAGACTGATCTCAGGGGCTTGGCTCTGTCCAAAAATAGCAGCTGCAGCAGTTGCCTGCTGGGGCCAGATTTCATCTCCTTATAACTTCTTTCACCCTCTTGAATGGAGATGTTAAAAAAAGAAAAAATTCCATCTTTCTGCAGAATGCCTCCTAGCACCCCCGGAATACGCAGGCAAGGAGGCGGGTGGCTTTAAACAAAGAATTGTTCACATGAGCTTCCTGAATCTGCAGGAACCTGGAAACTTGCAGTGAGGTGTGCCCTTCCTTTGCTTGTGGGCAAAGCATTCAACCACTGATCCTATTTTTGTATGGTGCAGCCCACGAAGCTGCCTTCTAAACTGTAGCAGAAATGTGTGGTTTTCAGGTTTTCATTCTCTCTCTCCTCCCATCCCTGCTTGTTTCCCCAGGCATGGTGGAGAGATGCTGTGCCTGAATTGCAGCAGCTGTATCTTCTCAAACCCCATTGGGAATGTGGGATGCAAGTCTCACTGGCAAAAGTCCATCCAGTTGAGACAAGGGGTTCCCTGTTTCACACAGATGAGCTGATTTCTGGCAGTGATGCGCAGGGTCACAGTGAAAGGTGATGGTGGCATGGGCTCTGTGTTTGCACAGCATGCATGTAACATGTTCCAGACCTGCTGTCCTGCAGCTACCAACTAGCTTAGCATTTTTAGGTGCCTGAAATGTGCATACATGAGTACCATTCGTGGGAATGAAGATACCCTGGGTGCTTAACAAGCTGGACCAGGACCAGGTGCTCTGGGTGACCTTGGCCAAGGCAATTCTCTCTCCTCAGTCTCCTGCTGCTATCAGAGGATGAATATTCCCTCTTCTTCCTGGCTGTGAGCAGTCTGGGGACAGACATTATGTGTATCAGACACAATATGGGCCAGAAATTAATTGACCTGAGCTGATGAGGCTTAAGATTCCTTGAATTACTTAGTGTTCTGTATTAAAACCAATTATCACATGCTAGTGCTGGTGACTTCTCTGAGATGGTTAGCATCCAAATGATCTCAGGGGTCTGATTCCCCTTTGCTGCTCTTTACCCACAGTCTCTGAAAGCAAGAGCAGGAATCTTTTTTTTTTTTTTTTATTCTCTATTTTTCTTCCTGATCCTGTGATCTGATGAACCCAACACCCTCTTTGTTCTCTCTCTGGAACCTTTCCTTACTGAAGGCTTTTTCTTCTGCGTTGCATTTATTTTTGGAGCATAGTTATTTCTTTTCTTTTAGCTGAGGATAATTGCTCCAGGGGAGAATGCCCAGGACACAGACACTTTGTTTCACTGGGGATAAATGCCAGCATCGATAGCATCTAAATTTAAAAAAAAAAAAAAAAGGGAAAGAAAGGAAGAAAGACATTTGTTTCATGGAAAGGCCAATTGAAATTGCTGCCTGAGTTCTGAGGAGCTGCTGTGTGGAGAGGCCAGGGTTCACCTGTGAGCCAATCCATCTGCATATGTAATTGGTGTTGACAAACTGCATGTGGAAGTGTCTCTGGGTTACCATGGGAACCTGAAAGGAGGTGAATTCTGGTTCAGTGTGTCTCAGCAGAAGGATATCTCAGTGTGTTGTGTTACTGGGCTCTGCAGAGGTGAGAGGAGGAGACAGAAGTGCATTGGAAAGCTGTTATCAGATGAGTTCTGGCCTGCTTCAAATATGGTCTGTGGTCTTGTGAGGGTCCTGTTATCCTGGTGTCTGATCCCCACGTTAACATCTGCACTGAGATGTGGCTCAGCTCCTGTAACACAGTATAGCTGGTGCTACCTGCACAGAAACATTCATCCTTGCAGGTAATGCTGCCCTTCAGCATCTCCAGGACTCTGGAAAGGACCTGGGACTTATGCAGCATTTCAGTGGTATTTGGTGTGATATCAGTAGAGCTGAGTGCTGAGGAGGAGTAGGAGTGTTCTTGGCTGTGTCCCAGAGTCCCCATCTCTCTTCCACGAAGCAGTGGACTTGCTCACACGCTTCTCTTCCATTTTAGTGGCTTCTGAGGAGACCTCCCTTCAATTTATTTGGCGTTTTACATCCCTCCTACACTACAAAAAGAACACTTTTTTTTTTTTTCTGGCATGTTTGGTTACCTTATTGGAGGAACCAGAGGCTCTTCTGCCTCTTCTCCCCAAGCAACTCATTAAACAAGCTCTCAAGTAACACTTGACAACAGTTAGATTACTTTTCTCCTCCTTTGTTGTACTGACTTCGATGCTTTTTGTATTCAGAACCAGCATGAAGATGTCAAGAAGCAGCTGATTGACCTGCAGCTACAGCACAATAGCTTGAAACTCGAACATCGTAAGACTCTGGAGGCCCATAGCCAGAAGTATGCCCAACTCCAGCAGGAGAAGGATAGTGAAGTCACAAATCTGCAAGGTGAGTATGATGGAGAGCCAAGAAAACACGGGGCAGGGAAAAGACTAAACATCTGAGCTAGGGAGAGGGCAACAATTGTTCTTCAGGTCACCCAATAGATGTTCAAACACTGTAGGAGAACCTATGTGAGACAGTGAGCATGCAGTGCCAGCCCTGAGCACAGGCATGGGAGACCTATACATGGGATTCAACCTCTCTTCTTGAAATATGCAGCTACCAGTGGACTAAGAAAATGAATTCTGCCACAGGAAAGAATAACACTCAAAAGCAATTGTGAAGACAGAAGCTAGTCAGGAAGGTCAGCTTAAGGCTGAGATATATTAATATTCTCTGCCTGCCTTAATGGGCAGCTGTTTATTTCATCCTATCTCTTTTCTGCGCTTCAAGCTCAAAAGCTACTAACTTTTCCCATAAAAGAAAGTACAGATGACTGTGGCATACAAAAGAGCAAGGAAGTCTCCTGAGAGGTGGCAGACACAGAACTAGCAGCATTGCTAATACCTCGTTTCCTTTCCTTATGTTCCATAAATGCTTTCTATTTATAATATGTCCCAAGGAGAGGTGATGGAAGACGTGCCTTGTCGGCAGGTAGAATAAAGAACGAGCAAGATCTGAGTAGAGGACATTGCTCCAAGTTGTTAGAGTGGAACTGAGGGATTTGTGCCAGGTTCAGTTATGAAAAGGAAACCTTTGCCCCAGGTGTGCTGGAAGAAGGCAGAAGTCCTCAGGGAAGCATGAGGGGCTGTTTTCAGCAGTGGAACCAGGTTTAGCAGCTCCTCGTGGTCACCTCGTGCTTCAGAGCTTTGGGTAGCTTTCATGTGGCTGACAAAGCTATCTATGCACACATGATGCAGGCTGTGGGGATGATGCTCTTGTGCCATGCAGCCCAATGGTTGTGATGCTGTTGGGGTGTTTGTGCCCCATTCTTCTGAGTCTCTCCTTCTGGAAGTGGTTTTTGATTGCTAATTGACAAGATATTAACATATGCTCTTGCCAAGCCTGCTGAAGCTTCGTGATGTTGCTAACAGGAGCCTTTTTAATCCTGTTTGCATCTCCCCCCTCCTGCTGCATTATGATCTATTTTTCTCCTCAACTTTGTAAAAATTGCCATCTATTTATGCTGTGTTTCACACTCCAGCACAGCCTGTCCTCTGCTGCTCCCCCACTCTCATTTTGCACTTTCCACTTTTCCCTGCACAACCTGTTCTGAAGACAGAGGGTTGGGTTTGATCACTGCTGAGCTTGTGTTACAGATAACCCCATTGTTACAATTGAAACTTTTGTCTTACTGAAGCCATTGATTAAAAAGCCGTGGTGATGTCATTTGGAGCAAGACTTCACATTTCTGCCTCTTATCTTGGCGTGAAGGCTTTGATTTCCAGGTTCTGAACATGCTTTGAAGACCCGGATGTGACTGAGACATCGGTTCAGTGAAACTGCTTCATCTCTCCTATACCAGAGAGGCCTCTAGTTCTCTTGAAGGCTGGTGGAAGTCTACACCATGGCCAGAGATCTTAGCAGTGGCAGTCCTGGAGCCTTCTTTGTTCCTGCTGTTAACAGCCTTCACTACAAGGGAAGGACACAGCACACAACCTCAGTGGCACTGTCCTGTCCCAGGGACGGATGTTTAAGAAAGAGATAGCACTGCAATAACAGCTCAGCCACTGCTGAGCTGCAGTCAAACACGTGATTTGGCCTACAGCACTGTCCTGTTATGGGGAGAACTTCCCTTCTTGTCAGGGCAGATGCAGCAATGCCTTTTTGCAGAGCAATCACTGTGTGCACAGTTATGGTGATATTCTGAGAAAGCTTCAGGCTCCAAAATAAGGCTGACATTTTTTTGATGCTGTTTTTCTTTTCATTGGAGGGTACACAATTATCTGCAAGGCACTGAAACAGAAGTTTATTGTGTCTTGTCACTGAAGCACTAAGCATGCAAAGAGCTTGAAAGGACTCAGGTTTGGGAGCTGCAAGGCACCATCTTGCTACTTAACAGGATGGGAATGAGCATCCCTGGGGACTAAGTTGTCCTGTTTGCTTTCTGTACATTGCCTGCATGGTTTTGTTTTGCTTGCACTAGCCTTTCAAGGCTCAGCTTCTCTGTACAGCTGGAGGGAAGCTCCGTGTTGGATCTGCAGGGTGGATTCTGGAGCTCTGAGGTTTCAGTGGAATTTATGGTGAGGAAGAGACTCTGTGATTGCAGAAACAGCTCCTCAGATAAATTTGTTCTTCTCTTGCAGATACAGTCTTTAAACTCAGAGAAGAGAGCAAACTTCTTCGCAAGGCCCACCAAGAAGTTCACTCTCAGCTACTTAACGCCCAGGTAATGGACAGAGGGGCATCCAGGGCCACATGGGACAGCTGTACACTGGGGCCTTTGTGCACCATGAAACTCTCTCTAAATAATAAACCCACTTAGCAGCTTTATTCCTACATGGAAGCTGCCTATGACAGTGCTAGAAGAGCCGTGTAGAGGATTTCTGGACAAGTAAAATTCTCCAACCTGGAATCTGTCCCAGTAGCTGAAAATAGATAAGCATGAACCATCTTATTCCCAACCTTGGGATGCTTGCTGTCACTTATCTGCATCTCAAGTTCTTCTACCATAAGTGACGGTAAATTGCTTCTGCTTGTAAAAAAAATTAACTGCAGAGTGACACACCAATGCAGAAATGCCTTGACAAGCTTGTTGGGAGTACAAACAGGAAGGGTCTCCTTCCATGTCTGCTTTTGAAGCATTAGTAGAGCATCAGACCTTGAAAAGTATCAGAGTTTTGTAAATAAGATGTCACAGCTCCATAATGGAAGAGCTGGAGTGAGGCTCTGTATGTGGAGGCCAGGGGCACAGGTGGAAGCAGTGTTAGAAGAGCATGGAGTTCACCTGGTATGGTGTTGTGCTTGTGCTCTGCAGGTTGTGTCAGCCTTTCCAGCACACTGCAGAAGTTCTGCCCCCACCCAGTGCTGCTTACTCCTGCTGAGTACCGTTGCATTGGGCACAGCTGGTAGGACCAATCCAAATTACCATGCTGCATTAGAGAAAGCAATCAGCACATCAAGTGTGCAAACTTGAAGATACTCTGAGTAGTATTTAAGAAAACTTGACTGGAGGTAGTTAAGGCTGCCAAGCTGAGTGCTTGCAGACTGAAGAACATGATGGCAGCTTCTGTGCTGCCAGCCTTAATGCACGGCCCCTTCAGCACTGTGACCAATGGGAACAGCAGATTGCAAGAAACAGCTCACTGTCATTTCTTGCCAAAAGTGGAAGTGAGCAAAGAGTAAAAGGATTTGCCCAGGGAGTGGGAGACAGAGCTCAGCTCCTTGCTCTGAAGGTACCAGACGGTTGTGTTACAAAGCCATGCTCCAGCCATCTGTCTGCTCTGCTATTTCTGCTTCCTTGGGAAGCAGTAGGGCTTGATCCAATGAGTTCAGAAAACACTTTGGATCTTTTTTGACAAGGAGCCTACTGTTAAGTCCTACAGTTTTCTGTTCCATTTTCTGATTGTTTCTTTCTGGCATTTCATCAGTGCTTCAAACACCAAGGTGAAAGTGCTCACATTGCCTTTGGTGGGGCTGGGTGCCACATGCAGGATCAAGGGCCCCACGGGCATGCAGCCTCTCCCAGCACAGCCATGCTTCCTTGTGGTGCCTCTGTGCCAGGTTCTCTTGTTGCTCTGGCTCTCTTCAGGCAGGGGATGGCTTACAGAGGAGCAATTTGCACTCTAGATGCCACATATGCTCATCAGAGATGCAAATGTGTTCCACAAGCCCGACCCAGAGGACTGAGCCTGCAATAGCTGTCACATCAGTTGTTGTGCAAAGGTAAAATGTGGCACAGGATAATGGAGCACAGCTTGCTGGCATGGGATACCAGCAGCCCTCCAGCTCAGTTCCCTATGACACAGGTTTGCTCCCATTTGGTTGTTCTGACTGGAAGCAGTCCCTTACCATGGCTAGGTCTCCTGAACAGCTCTCTGCTTTTTGTCTTTTCCTCACTCTTTTTATTCTAGCTTTGGTGGATCTTTTTATTGGCTTTTTATTTTGTTTCAGTGTTTGCCTTAAGGTCAAATTTCAGGGGGAAGAACTGAAATCAACAAAGCCTGCTCAGGAATTAATTTCCTGCTAAACTTCCCTCGCTGCCTTTTCCTGCTCTGCCCAGTCCCCATTCTGGTCCACTCCCAGGTACCTTGGCAAGCACATGAAAAGCTCTCTTCTCCTGCTTCCCTATAAATAAGGGGGGTAGGAGTGGGGAGCTTTTCCTGAATAGCTTTTCCAAGTCCTACTTTTCAGGGTTGGAGCTGGAGGAAATGTGCTGCAGTAGAGAGAAAAAGTGTTGTGTTTGTTGAACAGTCCAAGAGAATTGATTTTTCTTTTGTCTCACAAAGTAAATTGATTTGTCAAGTGGAATTATGCCAATTGTGTTTGTCTTGGAGGGGCTGACAATATCTACAGAGAAGTGCCTCCACAGAAGGAAAAAAAGCTGATGTGAATGTATGTGAGAAGAACAGGAGAGGGAGCCTACAAGAGCCATGATGAGGTTTTACTGTGCAAAAGGAGGAATTACATTAACAGCTTGTGCAGTAAATAGCATTGCTGAAAGCATTGCTGTTGTGTGTCACTGTTTCTAAGGTAAAAATATGCAGTAAAATAAGATGCGAGACTGGCAAAAGGGGATACAGGATATCTGTGAGATCTGGAAGGAAAGCTGAAGACTAACTTGAGTTTTCCATTGATGGTTGTGGATTATCATCAGTCATGTGGCTGTGTTGTTTTGTTTTTTTGTTGTTTTTTTTTTTTTTTTTTTGCAGTGTGTCTGAGCTGCACAACAGGCCATGAGAACTTGGCAAGGAATTGTTCAACCCTGTTATCATCATGTAAGGTTTCTCTTTATTTGTTGTCCCCTCAGACCCAGATGGAAGAGTTCAGACAGCTCAAGGAAGCTCTGCAGAAGATGCCAAGCTTCAAAGGAGGAGGAGGGAAGGGGCAGCAGCAGCTCCAGGTGCTGAAGGAGCAGCCTCTGGATCCAGGCAACAGCCAACTGCAGCTCACGAGGCAGAAGGTGTGATGGTCCTGGGGAGCTGGGAGCATCTCCAGATGATCTAGGGCTTTTGAATGGGGGGGGGAGCAGTCCTTTCCTCTGGAGCTCACTCTTGTCCTTCCTTATCTGCAGGCTTTTCCAGTCAATCCAGAGCATCGCCCTGCAGGGAGCTCGCTGGCATCGCAGCTCTCTGGGGTTCGGAAGCAGGCAGACAGTCCTGTGCTGCAGGGCCGGAGCTCCAACAGCAACGATGGCCTCAGGTCCCAGGTGAACGTGGCCCTCACCCACCCGGCCCCTCTGCAAGATGCCAATTCACCACCAGAGGCTCCGCCTGCCTGGCCAGCAGGACACGGGGATGCTCGCATCATCCGATTCACCCGAACTGTGAACAGCCTGCCGAATGGAAGCCCAGTATGTTCTGCAGACCCGGGGTTTGTTTTTCCCTGAGAGCTCTATGGTCTGTGCACTGGGCAGGCCTGCTGAGTTTGTCTCGCTTCACAAGCCTGTATAAAAAAAGAACAGCTTTCATTTCTCTCCAAAAAGGAAACCAGTTCACTGGGGAACCTTGCTTGCTTCCTGTGGCCTGCACTGAAATAAGAGTTCACATGTGAATTCAGGGCTGTGAAGGGCCTTGGGAATGTTTGGGAGTTGCTGTAAATTTTGTGGGTCCCTGCTAGGGAGCACAGCAAGGGACAGTAATGACAACGTGATAATTAACATATAGTTAAATCACAATTACATTAGCTATTATAATTGCAATTTTTTTTTTTTTTTTTTGTAAGAGGTGGTTTTGCTGTTCCTTTTGTCTTGGCTACTCGAGATGAGGGGAGTCCAGATCTCATAGGACTCAAATTACTTCCTTTTGGCTGTGTGGAAGGGGAACGACCTCTCGTACCAGGGGGTGGCTGGACAGGGCTGTCAGTTTGTTCTGGGCCGCTTCTGAGTCTGTTGTTCTCTAGAAAAAGATCTGCTGGCCCAAATGCAAGGGGAGAGGTCTGCAGGAATACAGTAAGATTAAGAGCTTGGGTACATCCTGAAAGCATTTGTGTGCCCTCTCTGCAGGACGTGAACATGGTGATGCGCATTCAGGTGAGCAGCCATGAGGAAAGCCAAGCTCCTGGATTGTTACTGTCTGATCTGAAACAACCTTCTGCTGCTGAGAAAACCCAGGTGCCAGACAACCACCACTCAACAGGGAGCAAACCAGTACAAATGCAGAGGTTGGTGATGCAAAGCCCCCTTCTGCTCTCCAAGACCTGTGATCCTGAGACTTCTGTATTTGGAATGGGATAAAACAGCAAAAGCTTACGCCAGAAATGAAGACACAGATGGAATCCCCCAGAAAATGCAGGCATTTGTCCCGTTTTCCTGTGTAGTTGCTCTTGAGATGATGTAGTTTATATCAACTTCAGCTTCATCTGGAGAAGGCAAACCAGTTTAACCATGTCTGGGGACCTGTTAGAATTTTCTGAGCCTAGCTAAAACCCTCAGTATTAAAGTTCCCTGTACCTTGAGGCTGTTTCTCCTCTTACTCACAGAGCATGAGGTGTTCTCCAGACCTGCTCCTGGGGCAAATGTGGAGGGAAGCTGTGGGGAGGGCAGCTGCCTGGAAGGGGCTTTCAAAGGAGGGTGTGATGGTGCCCTGCCAGTATTGAGATGGGCAACTCCCACAGTTCTTGTGTTACTGCAGGTTATGGGAATGCAGGCAGGGTTCAGGATCCTGTCATACTGTTTGCTGAACAGGTACAGGAGGAACTGCTTTCTGTCTTAGCAGTACTTACAGAAGACCAGGCTGCTTTGCAAAAGGAAGAAAATGTCTTTCTAAGGCTGTAATTCATGGAATTCTGGCCAAAATCCAAAAACCAACTCTGAAAGTAGTGCTTCCTTGTGTGATTTATTTGTCCTCTGTGTGTGTTCAGGTAATAGCTGCTCGGTTTACTTGAGAGGGGAAAAAAAAGAAAATTTAATTCCTGTTTCATCTGTAGGAGAAACTTCTGGTTTTCATTCCAAACTATCAGCTAGATTCCACTAGTGTCTTCTCTGCCCTGTATCTCTGTTTGTTCACTTAACCTGCAGACTTCTCAAGTCAGAAGTTCTTCTCTGAAGATGGCTGGAGAAATTTCCTCAGAGTGATGTCACACTGCTTTAGTAGGCAGCATCTGCACAAGCACACAGGGACAGCACAGATGTTGTGTTGCCTTCAGCTGAGGGCAAATGCTGAAGCTGGGGCAGCCGAATGGCCTCTCTTTGGCTGCTCCAAGTCTAGAAAGGATGTTGTCACTTTCTGTGAAGCACAACATGCAAACATTGGCCACGTTTTGATAAATGACATCTCAAAGGCAAAGATTATGGTATGCTTTTCCTTCCTGGATCTATCATCAAGAAATTATTGAGCAGCTGGAGGCTGTTGTTTACACTGTTATTTGTGGTATGAGTGCATAAGCCAGCTTCCTCAGGAGGTATGGATGCCAAGAGTAACACTGAATCACAGAAGAGGCCATGTGGCTGGTGCCAAAAACCCTTGCACAGGGCGGCTGAGACCAGCAGATTCCAGACAGACTGTGGATGGCCAGTCTGCGTGTTGATGGCTTTGTAACAGGGGAACCTGAGCTAAAGGCTGGGCTTCTTACTGCAGGTTTGTGTGGTGGTAATATGCTGGGTTCAAAAAGCTGCTAAAGCTGAGGCATTACATTAGGACAGACTTCTGCGTGCATTACGTGTTGTTGTTTGCTGTCTTTAAATGGCATTTTGAAGTTATCTCCTGCCTATGCTGAGGTGGGGTCTGTTTGGTTTTGTGCCTTTGCTGCAGCTGGAAGGACATAGTCAGCAAAGTGAATGCCCAGATGGATGATGTGCACAGTTATCCCAAGAGCCTTCACCTCAACTCCAGGCCTGGGCAAGAGGCTCAGAAGGGAAGCTCACAGCCATCCAGTCAGAAGAGAGGGGCAGAGAAACAAATGGGCGATCAGGAAGGCGAGAGGGAAAGGATGGATAACGAAGAGCTTGAAATGGGTATGGTTTCCCTAATCTTCTGCTGTACAGCACTAATGTATTGCCAGCCAAGGCTGGAAGCTAGAAAAGCTTTCTGCATGTGTTTGAAGGAAGACTTGTAGCTTCTACAGAGATCTTGATATTGTCTGGGTAAAACAATTAAATATTACAGCTACCCAGCCAGTGGGGAGCCCAATGGGCTTTGGGGTACAGCAGTCCAGTCTGAGAATATTGCTGAGGTGTTCTGCTGTGCTCAAAGGGCTTGAATGCAGAAGGGAGGGAAGCTGGGAACTGAGGCTCCTGTGAGAATCCTGCTGGAAATGATGACTTGCATCCTGTAAGCATTGTAAGGATTAGCAGATCAGTCTGTGTCACTGCTCTCTTTTTGTCTTTAATCCAGAGACTGTGCTGATAACTGTCCCTCTTTTTCGTAGATGCAGGAATGATTGAGAGGGAGAACTTGCATTCTCAGAAAGAGACTGTTGTTCAGGAGCCTATGGTAAGAAATACTGCTGTGCTGTTATCAGGATTCCTTCTTCTGAATAAAAATCCACTGTTCCACTTTAATCGGTGCTTTCCCAGAAGTCTTTATGACATGCAACTCCAAACTTCTGTCTGCTTCTGGAGGGTTTTGGGGTTAAAACCATTAATTTGATTGATTAAAGGTATGACTGAAGTGCTGAGCCAACACTGGCTCTGTCTTCTTAGATTTCAATGTGCTTCTTCATCTCAGTTCCCCCACTTCAAAAAAAGCAGGCAAACGCAAACCTTTTAGCAGCAGGAACAATATGGCTGGCTGAGTATTTTCTCTGTAAAACTGAAGGTAATTTGCTGATGACTGACATGGGCACAGTGAACTGACAGTGCCAAACTCTCTTCAGAGGGCTCATACCTCTTTCATATGGTGTGGTGGGAGGGCAGCTGTTTTGGATTTGAGCTGAATGGGCAGAAAGGTGGAGGAGGTTGAAGCTTAAGAGAAGTATAGGAAGGGAACCACTGAATTTGTAGAAAGCAGCTGCTTGATGTTTGTAAAGCTCGTCAAATACAGAAGAGAGAACCTACTGTTAATATTTCTGGGAAAGCAGTCAGCTGCAAAACAGCCCTGCAACTATTTTGCTTTCTGTGCTGACAGTGAATTGATCTCCCAAGGAGAAACCAGCTCTAGAGAGAGAAACGAAGCCTGCAGCAAGATCCTTCTGTGCCTCCTATATAGCTTCATTATCGCTCCAATGAGGAGAGCCTGAACTGCAAAGAGCAGATGAAAGATTGAGATAGGACTAGAGAATGGGGAAAAGGCAGGGGAATACTGCTAAGAGTAAGCAGTGCTCTCTTCTGGATGAATGATATTCCTGTACTTTTAATCATGTTGTGATGGACCTTCCTCCTGAAATCTCAGCTCTGGGCGATAGCTTTTCCTAGATGGTGAGGGTGGGCTCATCTTGGCCTCTGCATCCCATGTAGGTATCTTGTCTGGTACTCACAAGAGCCTTTTCTTGTCCAGATGCCAGATGATGCTGCAGATCCTGCTCAGGATCCCAATAACCAGGGTGAGGATGAGTTTGAGGAAGCTGAGCTGGAGAGACCCGACTTTGAAGAGAAGGTGGGAGGCTTGGAGAAGTTCAGGGAACCCAGTGCGAAAGAAGAGTCCAAGGAGAAGCCACTGAAGGTGACTGACATGAGGGCAGCAGCAGGGGGTAGGGAGAGACTGAGCTGTGAATGGGGGGAGGCAGAGAGCTTAAAACTCAAAGGGAAACTTAATAATCCCATTGCAGGATGGGGCAGGCAGGAGAAACCTTTTCCCAAGGATCAATGGGTCGTACCAGAATTTGTTCTGGCCCTGTTGTTTCTGTTTGTCGAAGCCTTGTTGTTCCTGGGCCATGCAGCAAACTTGACAGCAGTGACAAGGTGCAGGAGTCCTGATTTCTTATTTGCCTGCTTGCAGGTGGAAGCTATTTATCTTTAAAGAGCTTCTTGCCATCTGAAGCCAGACTCTGCATCAGGGAAATGTTAGTTTGTTTTGACATGCAGCTGAGCGTTGCTTGTTTTAAAAAGGAGTGTTTTATCTGTCAGGCTCTAAAATCATGATCAATAGTGAAGTTAAAAACAATAAATCCAAGCCAATGTAATCAAGGAGGAGAACAAAGACCTCTACAGTGGGAAGGAAAGCATAAGTGGACGTGGGGTTGTTTCACTGCCTGATTTCTGAGCTGCAGTCTGGTATCTTCCAGACCTGAAGCACCACTGCCAAAGAGCTTCTCCCTGCAGGGAATGGAAGTGGATTGGAGCAGAGCTAACAATGTCTGACCTTCTATTTTTCCCAGGATGCTGGCAGACCTGTCAAGCCCAAGGAGGACCCAATGGATGACTATCAAGATCAGGATCAAGAAATTGTATGACACCAAGGTTTCCCTTCTTTGCTTCTCTAGTGAAATTGTTACCTGAGTGTGCTGGTAGCCAGGGGTTGAACACAACTCAGCTTTTAGAGAAGCAGATGTGAGCACTGCTTGCTGTTTTGTCTCTGCTCAATGGGGTGAATCTCCAGAACAAACCTGGATTCCACCCACATACCTATGGCTTCCAACAGCTCTGTGTCTTCCTTGTGTTAGGGACCCCAGAGAAGGGGAGCTCTCCTTGTCCTTTGTAAGAACCTGGCTTGTGCACTGACTATGTGGACCTAAATGTGCCAAGAGATGCTGTGCTGCCTGCTGCACATCGTGGGTGGAATTTGTTAGGCTAGTTTTAGAGTGGTGAAGGTAGGGTATCTTCTCATGCAACAGGCTGAGATGTTAAAATTGCACTGCAGTGCTAGTTTATTCAGTGTTCATTAAATGAATATGGCTTCTTAACTCTACTTTTTGCTGCATTGCCAGTGTTACCTAAAGGTCCCCTGCAGAGCTGAATTCCTTCCTGTTTTCCTGGGTTTCCCAAGCTGGGCTGGTATGGCAGAACAGCTTTATTCAGAAGCAGCATGATGCTGTCTGTTAGGGTCTCTTTTCCAGCTGGACCTTGCTGATTTTCCTTCCTGGCTGTTCTCTTTGCACCCAGGAGGACCATGGTGGTGAGGTGGGTGACAATGATGACCTCGAACTTGTCCAAGAGCAGAAGAACCATGCAGGCATCCAGGGAGCTGATGGCAAGAAGGATGACTACTACTGAGAGATGCTGAAGATGGATGCAGTGGGAATGAGAGGAGAGGAACTCCTCCCAGGAACTGGATGCTGTACTGTGCACAGCCCAGAACAAAGGCAGGAGGAGATGGCTGCCTTGGCAGGCACTGAGCATGGTGTTTGCAGGTATGCATCATATCTACGTGCGTGGGGCCACTGCCGCCTCTCTGGTGCATGGCATGGAAGTGCCCTCAGACTGTCTGAATGACTTTATATTGCTGCTTCTAAAAGAAGCACCTGTTGATTGATCAAGTTCTTGACCCTCTTATTTTCCTCATCCATTCCCTAGATTGAGAGTTGGTTGTTTTTTTTTGCTGGCTGGGCAGGGGAGGGGTGCAGGGCTACAAAAGGAGGGTGTCTGAGCTGATCCCTGGAGTTAATCAACTGATGGCTAATACAAAGGAATCTGTCTTATAAAATATTTTCTCAGTAGTGTTTCTTTAAAACGTCCTTTGCTCCCATCAGGGCAGGCTGGAGAGGAATTGTCTGGAGCAGTGTCAAGGTGATGGCTGGCCACGAGCACCAGCAGAAAGTACCACATGTCAGCTAAGACAGTGTGTACATGCATACAAAGGAGGAGATCCTCCTCCCAGCGCAGGGATCCTTCCCTGTCACCCCTTCTGCAGTTCTCTTTTCCGTGGCTGCCCTGCTGGGGTGGAAGAAGCACTTGATGGCACAGTCCCTGTGTTTGCCTGAACAGTCCTTTTGCTTCATACAGCATTTTGATGGTGTGGATACCCCCGAGTGGGACACCAACACCCAGCCAACAGCTTGTGGGTGAGCATCATGATAAAGCTCACAGGAGAGATCTTTGTTCCCTGTTTGCATTAGAATTTAAAGCCTTGTTTTGAGGAGTGCTTTGTGGCACTTCCAGACAGTTGGGAAAACAACATTTATGTCCCACTAAATTTGGTCTTTTTCATTCAGGCAATGTTCTGGTTTTTTTTTTTTTCTCTTACAGTGCTTCTAATGGAGCTTGAAATGAACATGTCAGGGTTTTCTGGTTGCTCTGTTCTTACTTTACTTGTTTTTTTTACCAGTGCAATCTAAGCAAGTCAAACTCTGGGGTAATCTGGAGTGGTTCATGTGCTTGGGCTCTGCTTGTGTTACCTGGAAGCAAGGAGAACTCTGCTTTTCCAGCTGCTGCCCTTTCCCCAGAGCTGCAGTGTCAGGGCAGCTGGGGGTGCTGCTGGCTGTGATGGAACTTTGGGGAAGCATCTTGTTGGGACCTCATGGACCTGATTGCTGCTTGCTTTCTGAAACTGGGAGGATGTAGCTGTGCAGTGACACTAGGAGAACCTCACTGCAGCAGTTTGCATCTCTGTTCCAAAAGCATGTTAGAAAACAGACCTCCTCATGGGAAGGCATGAGGCTTTTGGTAGGACGTGAGCTGAGAGCTCCTGGCTGCTAAGCTTTTTCTGCACCCACGCCTCACTTAAAAAGCTCACAGACCGTTGGAGAAGACCAATGCTGCTTTAGGGGCTTTATGCTCATTGTACGGGTTGGTATCCCAGCTGGAGGCTGTGCAGGGGGTCCAGAAGAAGGTCTGTTAGCCCAGTGCCATAGCTGCTCACCTAACTGAGTTCACTGCAGAGCTGAAATGAGGTGTGAGATATCCAAAGTGACTTGCAATGATGAACACCGTGTTAGTGCTGTATGCTGTCAACCTTGCAACGTGACGCAATGCTGCTCAGCCTCCACCATCTGCTATTTATAGCACCTTCAGGATGCATTAGCTGGAACTGCTGCTATGTGTGCAGATGCAGCCTCATCAGAAATGCTCCCAGTTCTCAGCTGGGCAGGCAGAATCTCACTGTTTCACAACGGATCAATGACCAACACAATCTGTGGTAAGAATTTGAAGTCTGAGTGCCCAGGCTGCCCCAGTGGGAGCCGTAGTGCAGCTGTGTGCTGAGCTACGTTCACCCCTGCTCTGTGCTTCTCCTAACCCGTGGCTGTCAGTGCAGAGGTTCAGACCTCACTGCAAGTGAATCAAGTGCTGGAAATAGAACCCTGATGGAAGGGAGACCACGTGCTGAGTCAGAGGCTGCAGGAGATAGCAACATTAGGAGGCAAAATCTCTGCTTATGCGTGTCTGGGATGAGTAATCCTCCAAGCTGACTCCGAGGGAACTATGGTAACTCATCCTAAATGTGAAGCTCCCTGCTAGGAGAATGCTTTAGTAACCATATGCTGCTCGCTGCCCTGAGCCGAGAGCAAAGCAGCTCTGCTCTAGGGACTGCCTGCCACAGCTGTGTGCAAGACGAAAATTGGTGCAGTGCTGCATGAGTTGTTAGCTGGGGGTGGTGAGCGCTTCCTTGCCTGGCCTCTAGCAAGTTGCCACCATTTCAGTACAAGTTCAGGGCTTCCTGTAACAGGAGACAATGAACACGGTGGGGGAGAACCAGAAAAGCAGCCAACCTGCAGTGTTAGGTCTGTCTGAAGGTGAAGAAAGCACCACGGGCTGTTACTGATTTTTGATACGCTGCCTGGGGCTTCACTGCTTAAAGCAAACGACAGTGTTTGCCCAAGTGGTGAACTGTTGAGGCAGTGTCTGAGAAGTCCTGGCTGGCTTTTATTGCAGACAGGCATGGAGGAAGGTCTGAGAACAGCTGAGAAAGCAAACAACCAGATGGAGGATTCGCATGAGGTCAGTGCTGGCAGACTGACCAAGCCAAAGCAAATGGTTTTTGTTGGTCTTACATAAAAAATGATCTTTTGCCTGGAGATGTGGTGCGAGGCCAAAGGATGCAGTGCAGGATAAGGGCTAGTTCACCTGGCACACTTGCTGGTTGTTTGATGCTTTGCTCTCTACTTGCCTTTGGATTCCAGCGACATGATAGAGATGAGATTTCTGTAAAGAAATGCATTTCCAAGGCTCACATGATGACAAAGCGATTTGGCCACATCCTTAGTCAGACGATGAGAATTAATTGTGCATTCTGTGCCTTTACAAATAAAGGCACAGATTAGGAAAACATATGCCTATCAATTAGTTAAATTGTTAGGCTCATTATTCATTTACATGGCATTTTTAGGGCTTAAAATGTGACTAATGCTTTAATGAAGAGTTTTCTTGAAGGCATCCGATGTAGTTGGAGGAGAAAATGCCCTAAAGGCCTGCATAACGAAGGAGTGAGCTGTCTGCACCTCCCTGAACCAAGAGCATCTTCCCACTTACATATATGTGTGTGTGAATTGTGTAAGAGAATGATGCTTGTTTTTAACACAGACTGGTTAGAAACCAAATCCCAGCCCCATCTGTTGGCTCTCTCGACAGAAGAACTCAATGTGTTTCAAATCACGAGCGAGCACCATCACAGCCTGGTGCCGGATCTAATTGATCACTGGAACAGCGATAGCTCTGGAGTGCCATCTGCTATTAGCAGGGCTCAGGGAGGCAAAGCTGGCGTGGTTTGGCTCCGTGCATCTCCTGAATGCCTGCACGCTTCTCAGGCAGAGCTGCCAGGTCTTCATCTGCCCATCCCAGCCGGAGCTTCCAGGTAAGTTGGCCTCAGCCACTGAGAAGCGCCTTCAGCAGCACAGCACCTCCTCGCGTCCGCCAGGCCTGCATCGCTGTCCTTTTCGGTGCTGCTCCTAATTTTAACAAGAGAGATTTCCAACAAATTTCAGCAGGGTAGCAGGAAACAAATGTTGAATTTGGCTTTTAAAAAATAAAGCATAGCAGTCTATGGACTTCAGCTAACAGAGGAGAACTGTACCAGTGCAGCAGTGAGGCAGAGGTGCTGGACAGCTGTGCTCAACTTACGCTGTTTGTCTCATCCATGGAAAGCCAAAGGCTGCTCTCTGGCACAACCCAGCCACCTTCCCATTCTGCAGGCTGCTGCCAGAAGATTTAAAGGTGCAGAGTGAGCTGTTCCAAAAAGCTGGAATCTGTGAGGCAGGAAGGGGGGCTGAATGAGCTGCCAGCTGTTTACCTGTTCATTAAAGAACGCTTCCCATGCTGTTGGTCACAGTTGGTTTTTAGAAAGTTCAGGTTGGTCATTGGGTGAGGACTAAAGGCGAGTTGTAAACACTGCTCTGTACTAATAGCACAGAACCATGCTGTCCTCCAGCAGGATTTATGGCTTTCCACAGGCTTTTTCAGTGGGTGAAAAGTAATTCCTGTCTTCTGAGCTATTTGAGAGTTTTTAGGACACTGTATAAAACCTGAGCAAAACACAAAGGAAATCTCCCCCTAGTTGCTGGTGTGGAATGAAAGCTGCAAAGTGGGAAAGCAAGGCCTTAATGCAGTTTTTATCATGTTTAAAGACTGCATAAAAACTGTTCAAGAATGTATTTATTCCTTTATTACTTGGAGAACTTTTGTTTCCGCATTTAGACAAGTTTATGGTTCCAATATGAATGTGTTGGGTTGCCCAGGGAGCATCTTGGCAGTGATGTGATGGCTGGGCTGGGGCTGTTGTGCTGCCATTGGGAAACTGCTTGTACAGGGTGAGCCAAAGAGCCCCTTTCCTTCTGCCTCAGCCTTCTGTGCGCCCCTTCCCACTATTTACCCCTGCTAGTAGCTGTGCCGTGCTGGAGGAGGAAGCCATCATTTCCTCGTGTCCCATCCTTGCTGAGCAATCTCCGAGTTGGAACACAGAACCGATTAAAAAAAATAAACTCGAGGAAAAAAAATTAAAGCCAACAAACCCAAACCTGCCCCCCTCCTCTTTCCTCCGAGCCGGGGCAGCCTCCCGGCCCAGCTCCGAGCCCTGCCGCCCCCCGGACCGCGGCGGCTGGAGATGCCCGCGCTCCCCCCGGCCCCGCCGCTGCCCGGCGGCGAGCGCTCCGCAGCCCAGCGAGAGTTAACGCCGGAGCCGCCTCTCCATTGGCGGCCGGCGCAGCGGCTGCGGAGCCCGCGCTTATAACGGGCGCGCGGGGCGGCCGCAGCCCCTCCGCCGGCTCCGCGGCTCGGCTCCATGCGGCGGCGGCCGGCATGCCCCGCCTGCTGCCGGCCCTGCTCGCCCTGCTCTGCTTCGGGCCGCCGTCGCCCGCCCCGAGGGCTCCGCTCGCCGAGGCCGCGGCGCAGCCGGAGCCGGATGAGCCGTGGTGCCCCTACAAGGTGCGGCCCGAGGGCTCGGCGAGCGGGCGGCTGTGCTTCCGCAGACCGGCCCTGGGCTTCCAGTGCGCGGCGCGCTCCTGCCGCGCCCACCGCTCCCCGGGCGGCGCGCTGGTGGCCAACGTGCTGCGCAACGGCAGCGTGCTGCTGCAGTGGGCGCCGCCGCGTCCCGGCAACGGCCTGCGCGGCTTCGCGCTCAACTGCTCCTGGGACGGCACCTACACGCGCTTCCCCTGCGACGGCGTGGAGCTGGGCGCCGCCTGCCGCGACTACCTGCTGCCCGAGGCGCACGGCGGCGTGCGGTACCGCCTCTGCCTGCAGCCCCGCTACGCGCCGCCGCGCCCCGCGCCGCCC